AAAAAAAAATAGACCTTGTCTTTAATGTTTATTTCACATTATCTAAGTACATCCAGATACGCAAATTTACATTTCTATTTCACATCTTTGCCTTCCTGATATACATATAACAGGACAAAAAAACACATCTGTAATATTTGGCCTATAAAATCTTGCCTGGGGAAAGTAAGATTCTCTGACACCTTACTCTTCTGCATATGGATACAATACAATTCTAAATAACTAAAGGGATTTCAAGACTGGTAAAAGAAAAAAACATGACTGGCTTTATTCCATCTCAGAGTATCTGTCCTTGCTTTTATAGTGGTCTTCTAATTGTTGAATTACAGGTTATTAGAGGCATTATCTTTGGGAGTTCCTTAAAATATTTCAAACTTTGGATTATTATTTCTGCAACTCTTGTGCATGGTACGATGTTGACAACAGTTCCCCATCAATGATGTTGAAATGTTGGCATTGAGGTCTTGTGTACGCACCTAAGGTGTTTTTAAAAGTAGTCATCACCATGACTATCCCTTTTTTTTGTGAAAATATTTTGCCAGACTAGAAGACAAGCAATTATTTCTTCCATTAGGTAAAGAAAAGGGACAGACCAATACAATGCAGTACTAATTTTGAAAATAAACAATCACATCGAATTAAAGAATCTAAAATTTAGTTGTAATTTTATGAAACCCAAATATAACAAAATCACATTGCAATACTAGATGACTGCATGTTCGTTCTGTTCAATATTTCCCATGAGATCTTTTGTATCACTAGTTCCTGGACTTGAATGACTGTTAAAGTAGAGAGTATTTTCAAAGGTGGTTTCTTGAGGTAGGTGCCCCCGTCTCTTCTTATGAAAGTAATAGGCAGCGAGGCCAGCACCCATTACAATCAGGAGGACCACGACAACCACAGCTCCTGTGGCGCTGGAAGATTTTTTGGAAGGCTCCATCTTCCTGGAGTCAGCTATTAAGAAATAAAATCATTAGCAAACAAGTGGAGGGAGAAAGAGGGTTGGACGTGATGGAAACAGTATAAACTGCCTTACTGTATAGCTAAAATGCATGAGTATTCTCTTCATTTCCAAACAGAAATACAAGACATGAAAAACAGGAGCCCCCCCCCGCCATGACATGCAGTTATGTAAATGGATAAGATGATTATTCAGTTACAAGAATATTTTATCTGTAAGGTGGCATTGAGATAATATTTTAAAAATAACATATGTTTTATGTTATATGTGTGTGTTTATATAGATAGATATGAAAATAAGGGAAAATAAAATAAAGTAAGAATAGTGGAAATTTGAATTCATGAATATAATTAGTAAACAAATTACATCATTAAAGTAATAAAAGGGTTATGGGCAAATGACAAATCTCAACTGAGTTTTGTTTTGAGTTTTTTTTAAAGCAGTTAACAATATGAATAAAATAGGATTAGTTCCCGAATTTAAATCATCTATAAAACTTCAAACAAAAAAAACTTTGCTAAAAATGAAAAAGACCCACAAAGATTCCTAATAGAAATTTCTTCCATGGGCTCCCAAAGAAGGATGCTTTGTAAAATGGCAAACAATGTCTTCAATAACTTTTAAAACAAAAACCCCAACCCGTTTCGAGTCCTGTTTTTCTAAAATATTATGTAAGGTGGGTGACAGATCTGACCTCCATGTGCCCCACCCTCATCCCACTGGCCAAGCTCCTGAGCTCTGAGAACAATCGCGGCCTGTTCTCACACTCTGCACCCTGCAACTATGCCCAGGAAGGATGCCTGCTCTGCTAAGACTCGACACTCCAGCCCCACCCACGAGGTCTCCGTACTCACTGCTGTGGCCCACGTACTCCGCCATTGTCGACCCCCCAATCTCACGCCCTGCGACTTCCTGTCACCCCACCTAACCCCCACCCACTAAGACCCCTACCCTACCCACAAAAGACCCAGCTCAATAAGCTGGACTTGGATTCTCTTCTGGAGTTCCTCGAGGAGGTCCTACCCAGAACCCCCAAATCCAGGCTGGCTGAGCTCTTCTTAGGGTCATCCATCCCCTAGCCACGGAATAATGATCTACAGTAATGACAGAGCCCTGTTAGCTCAAGGAACTCGACCAAAGCTGCAGGAGGAGTAGGAAGGGACTATTACAGCTTTTAAAACTTCAAATTTCACAAGAGTCTTACCTTTCGTTGTGATTAATGTCCGAGTCGGTTCAGGATCAATAACTGTAAAAAAAGAAATCAAATAGTTATAAAAATCCATAATAACTGCAGGTAGATAGTAAATTTTATTACCTCCGAGATACAAGAAATCCTCTCTATTTCACTTATGATAGCATACTACGAATGGGAGGATCAATAGATGGATGGATGGAGATACATGGATAAGACAGATAAACTGATTGATCGGCAGAGCTGGATAGACAGAAAAAAGATCTGCACACTTACTATCTATCCATCCTCCATCCTTCTAGCTATTGCATTACAGCAGCGACTGACAACCCCATAGTGAGTTTGAATACATTGCAAGAGCTGAACATGTGTTCCTCCAAGTTGCATCTGAGCAAGGATACTTCTTTTAAAATGATACTGCTCCTCTACTGACAGTACTCAATCTACCCACGAGTGAACTACCCAGAGTAGGCTGGGGGTTTTGAAATTGGCCCACTGAATCCAGAGGCGTTAGAAGGCATCTGTGTAACTAGTGAAATAAAACTACAACATCGTACCAGAGGGGGTGAAATGTTAAAATAGAGTTAAAGAAGGCTACAAATCTAATAAAACCTACCGATGGAACCTAACTTTCTTATCTGATTCATGTAATTAACTTTCTACCGCATTAATAACTTTCTCTCTTAGGAAGGATAAGACGGCATTGCCGTATTACTTAAGACCACACTGTGAGCATTTAACACTATTAATTTCCCCCCTCCCTCTTCTTGTCATGGTCCTTCGCGCCATCTCACATGGAGACCCAGTTGGTCTCACATGACTTATTCCATAATCACTTCTGAGGACTTTCCAGCACTGGCCTCTTCTGCTTCTCCTTAGCACAGTAAGGCCTGGAAGGTACCTACCCCCAAGTGCGTGCAGTTTAGCAAATCTGTATTCAAGGACATCCCATCGTAAGAACACCAATAACCAAAATCACTGTGTCAGCGAGGCAGGTGGAGAACACCCCTCGCTCACTCACAGCTGTAGGCAGCAATGGACTCAGTGAAATGGATTTTCCACCCACACAGGGAAAGCTCGACAAAGCTTGAGTGCACCTGTGTCACCCCACACCTGGCATCCCACTGTTTGAAGGAAATGGGGGCCTGTGAACATATGTAACGTGCAACAAACTTTTTACTCACTTTTTGCTCTTTTACAGATAAATCCTTTGTAGGAAGAACAATGAATATTACTCCAAAGCCCAGTCGAGGCAGCCAAAGCTACACAATCATTTCGCTCAGTAGAAGGATCTCCTGAGTTCCAGTTGACAAAGGACAATGGGCTGTTGTTTATCCAGAGCCATTTTCCTGATTACCAAATAAAATCAATAAAAGCAAAAGTTTAAAATAACCTATTTTAAGAGGTGGGGGGTATCATGTACAGGTGTAAATCCCCTAGGATGAGTGTTATCATTATGTATGTCTAAAATTTACCAATAAGTATTTTGTTATAAACAAAACAAAAACCTCTAAGTTGTTTCCTTATTGGCACAAAATTTCTAAGTATATCAGTTTCAGTTTTTACTACAATTAAGAGTTGTTTAAAAGTAGAATTTTAACAGGCAAGAGTATAAAAACTTATTACAGGGAAGAAAACCAACAAGAATATGTTTATTATATAGTTTTAGTTGAAAATGTATTTCTAACTTTACAAATATTTATACTTATCCTTTCCTAGTTTTTTATTCTGCCAAAAAAAAAAATGAAAAACACTCTTCAAATAGTCTTTAACCTAGCTACAGAAGAAAATTTTAATTAGCAGGTTTGAGAATAATACAATATGTGAGTCATTTAAACTTGCAGTTTTTATCTGAAATAAAAATGAGTTTGAATTTTCAAACTCACCACAAATTAACCATTACTTAAGACTTTCTGGAGCTGAACTCTTGTTTTATATACAACATTTTGAAATAGCGACAATTACATGGCTCTTCAAAAATTACCTTCAACATTTCTGAATAATCCTATCCAAAAATTGGTTTTACTTCTAAGAGGTTCAACTAGGTATGAAATAAAACTGGATTCAGCAGCATTTTCAATGGAAACCAGGTAGGAACCTGCAAAGTATAAAAGGATAAATACGATGAGAAGACTTTAAGGTAGCTAAAGTACTTTTATAAACAATATTGATATTAAGAGCAATAAAAATCATCCTAATATTTAGGGAGGCTGAAACAAGAAGATCATATCTCTAAAGCCCAGCGTGGGTGACCCAGTATTCTTGTGAGACCCTGCCTGAAAAATGAAAAATGAATAAGGGCTGGGGATGTAATTCAGTGCAAATGCCCTGAGTTCAGTATCCAGGGCTGTAAAAATAGCGGGGAGGATAATTTCAGTAAGTGGGTGTTTGTCTTCTCAAAATATTAGTATCCATTGTGAAAATATGGCTTTGTAAGCACCATTTTTGTACAAGCATGCAACGAGTTCCTGCCAAATATGAAAACACAAGTGAGATATAATAGGACTTTAATGACATTGTGGCTCATCTGTCAGTAACAAACAGATGGAGAGTGCAAAGGAATGTAACGGGGAAAAATAGGTGCGACAGGCTATGGTCCCGCCCAACACTCATGTAGGTGACGCAACTGATGGGGAGAATGGGCAGGAAGAGAACTTAAGTAGAGAAGAACAGAATTTTATGTAGCAGAGACAGAAACTGATTCCAGGTAACAGTAATTAAACCCAAAGAAGGAGGACAGCTTAGAACTTGTTTTAGGACACGGATGGTTTGATCTGGCTGGAGAATCATCATAATCCGGTCAATGTGTCAAAACAAACAAACAAAAAGAATTAGGTTAAGCCTCACTGCAGGAGATGAGAGTTAGGCCTCACTGCAGGACACTGGTATTTAGATCAATGGCACAGATGGTAAAGAACACTTAGTTCTGTGGGACAGCAGAAAAATACAAGATACTATAGGAGCATTAATCCAGCTGTCACGTACAGAACATTCAAAGTGAAGAGAGAGAGAGAGAGAGAGTGAGAAAACTGGAATGTAAAGCAGACAACTGTGGAGTTGCCACTAAATATATTCAGCATTAGATTATTATAGTAAACATCTACAGCTTTCTAATAATAACTAATATATTTTGAACATTTCATTCCAGGCATGAGATTTTGCTTTGGTCTTTACAAGCATTATTCCATTAAATTTTTACAGGACTTCAGTAAGTGGGTTCTATTGTCAGATCCTCTTACAGATGGGGAAACTAAAGCACAGACCGAGCTCAGGAACTTGCCAGTGTCCTCACACTAGCAGAGCAGAGTCATGTGATGACCCTGACAATCTGAATCTGAGGGCCTACACTTAACCATAGGCCTACATCCCCAATCACCGTGTTCCGGCCTATCCCCTTGCTAGCTGTTTTCTCTGCATAATTACATAATCCAATATTAAATGTATTTCACAGACATTGACCATTTGTGTCTATTATGGTCTGTGTCTCGATGTCCCCCGCAAAGCCTCATGTGGTCATAGGTGGGCACTTTAGGGTGGCTGGATCTAGGGTGTGTGATGCTGTAATGATAATGTACCATTAACTGTAATTAAAAACAAGTTTTTTACATATGCATTGTAAAATTTTAACATACACTTCTCGACATGGAAGAAACATTTTCAACTAACTCAAAAATACACTTCTCATGACATCATCAGAAATGGCACAGTAGTACTTCCAAAAGCGCTTTCCTTTACAAAAGCAATGAGAATACTGCTAAATTTGTTAAAATCGATTTTTGTCAAAATCAACTTCAGCATGCTGAAAATTTACTAAAAATTTATAAGACTCCAAGGAACATCTGTACAAGAAAAAATGAATAAATCTTGGTAATGATGGTGTGTTTTGTGCTATTTTAATTTGTCTGAATACCACTGCCTTCTCACTAGCTCTGTGGTATTCTTAAAATTATCAGCCCCACACTCATAGAACCAACAGCCCAGATGTCACTGCAGGGGTCAGAATGTGGCTGGAACTCCTAAGCTCCATTCTCAAAGAATTTCCATTGTTTCTGCTGCCTGATAGTGTCCTAGAAAAGGCTACTTGCAAAGCTTGTCTTTGTTTCAGAAGTCCCTCACTGCAGATTGACTTTCTCTTAGGAATATTTGTCAAGAACTATCATTGGCAGTGAAAGAAGGTGAGGAAAACAATAAGCTAACAAAGAACTGATGTGCAAAAGCTGGGGAATGAAATATCTCTAAGGGACTTTTAAAAGCATTGATGCATTAACAAAGGTCACTGATATGCAGTAAGATGCAAACATGCCCAGGAAAGACCTGAGCTGGTCCTAAGCTCTCTTCTGTCTGACCTTGGACTTCTGCAAAAGCAGGACATGAAGGCTAAGGTAGAGTTTCCAACTGCCTGGATGAGTGTTAAAAGCACATCCTAGACAGAGCCCTTAGCAAAACCAGGGAGACTTAGTAGCTCTAGACACATGAAAACATCTGTGTCTATCACACCTAGGGGAGCCGCGTCTAAAGAGATTTAACATACAGTTACATAACACAAACAGATTGTAATCAAACTGTTAAAAACAAAGAGCCTTAAAATTGGCAAGAGTGAAATAACTCATGATGTACAGAGACTTAACACTAATTTTTAACCAGAAATCATTGGTGCAGGAAGAAATCAGATGAAATACTGAAAAGGCTGCAAGAAAATGACTTCACCAGGGATTTTCTATCTAGAAATACCAACCTTCAAAGATAAAGGAAAAGCTAAAACATTCCTAAGTAAACGAAAGTGACTTTCTTACTACAATAAACATGAAAGAGACTCCTTCATGAAAAAATGGCAAAATAAAAGATGTACTTAGACATATTGTCTTTATCAGTAATTTCACTGAATCAAACATTCTAATTAAAATGGAGGTTCGTAGAATATTCCACTTAATTAATTAGAAAGGTTTAACTATATGTTTTTTGTAACTATATTTTTCTTAAAAAATAAAACACACTTTCAATCCAAAGACACGAATAAGTGAAAATAAAAGCATGGAAAAAGACATACTGCTATGTGGACAATAACTTAAAAAGAGCTGCAGCAGCTATGCTAATAGTAGACAAAATAGCCTTTAAACAAAAATTAATTCTGGTGACAATGAAGACTTTCTATAATGATAAAGTTTCAGTCCAACAGGAAAATTTTGTAGGTAACATATATGTACCTGACAACAAGGCTCAAAAATACATGAACAAAAAAACTAATACAGCAGGCTTCAGCTGATGCAGAGAACACAGTTAAAAATTAAATCTGACTTCTGAATGAACCTAAATGAGAATATAACCGTTGCATTCCACTACTGGATGAAGAACCCGGAGTGAGGGTTAAATACATATAAAAATGTATTTAAAATAATTCAGTAAAATGTGTGGTAAGATTTAACTCAGTAGCTTCAAAATGTACCCTAAAAAAAGTATCTTTATTTGCTATTTGTCATTTCAGAGGGAAAATCATTCATATACGTCATGTGTATTTGGGTTTTGTTTTTGGTTTTCTTCACAAATACAATAACTAGATGTAAATTCATTTTAATTACTTATCAGCTATAAAAGGCAAGTAGAACACTTGAGATAACTGAGGATGAGAATCATAACAACTTAGAACATTAGGGCAGAAAGAAAGACTTGTTGAGCACATGATTATTTTTCATGTGAATTTAGTTTACAGTGTTAGAGATTATATTTGGAGAGCCTAGTATTAACTATTCTATTACCAAAAAACTCGTTGAAAAATAAACAAGTATTTTACACTCCTTGTATTTTACATGTTAAGTCATTAGCGTCGTGGGACCGTGGAATAGACACCTGTGGGATTTTTCTTTTAGGAAATGTGGCCCTTACTCATTCGAAGACATTCCAGAGTAGCTTGGCCCCAGTTCCTTGTGAATGAAGATTCGATGTAGTAGCAGTGACCGTGGAAAGGAATCCACGCATTGAGCTCTGACTCCGGACACCTGCCGGGCAGCTGGGGTGGCTCAGTGGCTGGAATCTCTGTTAAAATAAAGCAAAACTGAAAGTGTCAATGTGATGCAGAGCAATATTTTCACAGCTATGGGAAATGATATCAACTATCACTATTCTAAAAAGCCTCTAATGTTTATCATTCAAATCTACCATTTTTATTATAGGGTTTTCATTTACTTTACTATTTTAAATATATTGCAATAGAACACACAATGACATAGCAGTAATCATTCACAGACAAAATTTAAAGCTCTAGATCTATTAATATCTGTAAGGATGTTGTAAGTTTTTACAAGTCCCAAAATAATTTATAAAGAAACTTCCTTCCAAGTCACTCTTTCCCTTTCTGGGGTCCTAAACCCTATAAATTCTTCTTGGCTAATAATGGCATCTACGATATAACTAAATATTATAGTTAGGATTCTGGGACTGTGTCCATAATATCTGCTAGTCTGAATAAATTACATGCATAGAATCTGATAGGATTCTATTAATACAAACTTGCTGTTTCTATTGAAAGGGAGCAGAATTTCTTGGGTAATCTGTCATTATAGATTCAGAGGACACCCGCAACACCAACATGCACAGATCTATAAAGAGAAAATAAATTCTAGAAATAAAGACAATTTACTATCTTCATTATTCTGACATGTATTTATCTATATGTATCTCAATATCTATATCCAAGTTAGTCAAATGAATGTTTTGATTTCTCCTTAGCCACCCGAGATACAGCATGCCTTAATAACATTGACAGTGGTGTGTAGTAACTTATTCAGAACATTTCAGATCCCTCAATTGTTGTCACGTATCCAATTACCATATGATCTCTTGCAGAGAAAATAAAAACTTTCATTGCAATATGAAGTCTTCCAGAAACCGTCAACATCCAGATAAACACAGGCCGATTTCAGCCTGGGCTCGTTCGCTGCCCAGTTATTGTACCTCATTCTCCATTTATCAATCCAAGTGTAGTCATTGTTGGTCTGCAAGAACAAAAATTGCCATGAATATAGGGTTTTGCCTCATTTAGAACATACCAGAAGAACCTTGCAGAGACTAAAGAGTACATTTTATGGCTGGTTCAACACAGTGTCTCCAACATCTGTGAATAAAAAGATTATAAATCACTTGTACCAACTCAAATTCAGTGAAAGAAAGAACCCTTTCTTAAAAATGGTAATTTCTTGGAAATCTCTAGGAACACATCCTTGGGAACAATTGAGAACAACACCACTAAAAGGTCTAGGGCCAGGGATTTAGCTCAGTGGTTCCACCACCTGCCTTGCAAGCACAAGGACCCAAATTTAATCCCCGGTATCAAAATAAATAAACAAATGTACTATGTCTTCATCCATGCAACTCTTTTTTTTTTTTCCCAAAGTTTTTCAGGTCCAAGGGAAAGTTTGATTTCATAGCAAATAAAATATGTATATTAAACTGGTTGTTTCATTCCATTTGCTCACTTACTTTCTCATTAAAATTGAGTCAAATTTATGGCCACATACAAAGTAATTGATAACATGAATATCTGTCAATAATATAGTATCATTTTAACAATTTTAAATATATTTTTACAGATTATACCTAAGAACAGGTGTTATATACAACATTGACCAGAGATAATTTAAAAATTGAACTATTTTATACCTTTGTAACTGCATCATTTACCAAGACAATAACCAAATACTCAATGAGAAAAACGAAAATCATGTGTTTATCTCAAGTTAGAATTCATTTTGTGTTCTCCCATCTTTAATCAAATATGCCTACATAATCATGAAATCCACAGATATAGGAAAATAATAGTATCGTTTTAGTCATCGATATTGGCAGCATGGAAAAACTATTTAGACTTTCTTACAATAAATAAGAGTCTACCTATAGGAGAATTGTGCACACATCCATAAGAAGATGAATAATCGAACAAATCAATTGTCACAAATAGTCAACAGAGATGTAAGAATACCTTGCTCATGCTTAGTCCCAGAAATGATTACAGAACTAATTTAAAATATGCACTTTCCTACTTAGGAAATACTAATTGTGTAACGTCTCTCTATCTCTACCTCAGGGCCTTAGGAACTCTATAAAATGTGACAACAGTCTACTTAGCAGCTTTCTCCTCTCGATGCTTTTCTCTCTCGGTACGCTCACCTTATGTCCTACCACCCCAGACTACAGTACTTCTGCAAAGGCTGACTTTCTCAGAGAAAGCTGACCCTTTCTCTCCTCGGCCCAACTGTCCCAGGGACACTGTCTTTCTCTCCCTAACACTTCTGTGACTATCTCTTGGCTGCCTACTGAAACCTCCATTTCTGCAGTTTGTAAGTTCGCTGGTTCACTAGCTAGCTGAGTGCAGAGAGGAAGGGTAGGTGGTTCGAGAGGCGTCTGAGAAGGCTCATTTTAGGAATAATTTGGCACTTCTATCACCACTTAGGTCCGGGCCTCATCCCTCACTTCACACCGTGCTCACCCTTACCGAACTTCTTTTCTCTGTTAGGGAACACATGGAAATTGACTGCAAGGAGATACTTCTCACACATGAGCGGAAGCTCCACACTTTCAGGACCTGTACCAACTCTGGAAGAGCTTGTCACAGAAAAACGAAAGCATCCTCAACACCCAGTAACCATGCCTCTAACTCCTTTCTTGATTCCTGCAACCTGCTTGTAATCATGTCACTGGACAGAAATAAGCAAATACATAGAAACTAGTTAGATTCAGAATATAATTTTGATACTCAAGACAGTTCTCTAATTCTTAGGTTGATTCCTGATGCACAGCTTACAAAAAGGCAGTGGCTCCTTGAAAGATGGGATTTTGTTAGTGTTTGTACCATTTGTATTGCTCAAGAGTGTCCCTGTCACATAACTGTTCAGCAGGATGGACAGGAGAATCACATTCAACCACAATTTACACATGGCAAGTTGTGTCTTTTTCCAGCATCTTACCAAGTTACTGTTCAGGCCAATCCACACAGGTACATTCAATGGCTGTATTTTTAACCACAAAAATGCATTCGTATAGGGATCCAGAATGCTGGCAAGAAGGGAAGTGTAGCCCTTGCAATATTTCTCTGCCTCATCCCATGTTAATTTATTTTTAATGAGTGAATAGCTGCTTTCACCGTATTTAACAAAGCCACCTGCTGGAGCTGTTGTTGGCGAATTAGGCAGAGCAGGATCTGGAAAGAATAGATTGTTTCTATTAGCATTACCACTAAATAGTAATTGAGCCATCAGTATATAACTCCTATGCCTAATCCATCAACAAAATAACCAGAATAGCAAAAACCCAAACTATCAAGTGATAAAAATATTTTCGTGAACCATTTTGCATCAAAAAACAAACTATTTTTTAGTCAGCATGCCTTATTGAATGATTTTTCATTGATATTTAGGATAAGGTAGATATCTGATAAAGATTCTCAACTAAGATAAGATACAACTGCTACAAATCTGTTGTTATGTAGTAGCTAGATAAAAAGAATGTCACAGTTTAATTATAAAAATCAACTATCTGTCATCTTGTATTATGAATGTTTCATCTTCTACCTTTGCCAAGTTTCAAGTCCAGAACAGGCTTCCTCTCTCTCTCTCTCTGTTTCTCTCCACTCATAACCTCATCTGTTTGTACCTTTTTGCACCCCATATGAGTAACGCACTTTCAAGACATGCATAGGTTGGAAAGAAATCACACACACACACACACACACACACACACACACACACACACACACACACACACACACACAAGAGTCCTTGGTTCCTTTAACCTTGATTTCAGGCGCATCTTACAGATAACTTCCTGTGTTCACGTACGTCTCCCATCACTGATCCAAACTGACCCGGATTCTGGAACCGGGCTAAGTCAGAGCCCCTTCCCCTTTATACCTTTCCTCTCAGACATCCTAGCATGAGTTTCTAATCACTGCTTTATGCCCATGCCTGACTCTGCCATTTAATCAAGACACATAACCAGTGCTTGCTTCTGTTTTGCCTATTGTCTTTTTTTTTTTTTTTTTTTTTTTTTTTTTTGGTAGCCCATGAGTTACCAATGGCTTTTAAATGGTTGGGATTGGGGGTGTGGATTAAGAATAATATTCCTTGACACTGTAAATAGTATATGAAATTCACATTTGTGTCCTTAAATAAAGTTTTATTGGAATACAGCCACAGACATTTGTCTGTGACATTCTATGACCAAGACAGAGTTGAATTGTACCCACAGACTTTGTGCATCCATACAACCTGGATATTTACCATGTGGCTCTTTATGGAAAGTAACCTTAGCCAAGAGTTCTAGATATCTTTGCTTACCAATTTTCCCCTTGGCCAACTCTCTGTCCTGTTCTACTTTATCCTAACCCAATCTATCACCTGGCTCCTTCTGATACTATAGACTGCTTGACTGTATTTGGTTGTCACTGATAAACATTAAATTCATTTCAGCCTCCCTTTCCCCTGCTCCTGCTGCCCTCTTGTGTTGGAAAGATATCATTAAACCAAGAGTCCAGGACCAGACCTTTAAAACGTCCTGGTTTATGAGAAACTGCCTCACCGAGTTCCAGCTTGTGAAGGTCTGGGTTTAACTTACTGCCATCAGAAAACCTGGGGACCATTACACGTGGCAAATGAGGCTTGAAGTAAGGTTTAAAAAAAGAGAAAATAACAAGACAGTTGCACAGAAGCCTGTATACAATTAGGAAACTCAGCTGTACCTACTTTGCTTATTCATAAAATCCTTCCTAGAAAATACACAGGAGAAAAAAAAAAAAAGAATTGTTGACAGGTTGTCTCTAGGTGGCAATTTTATCTTTTCTTTCTGACTTTATTAATTTTCTAGCTTTTCAGCAAAGAACACAGTCTATATATTTTTAGTAAATGTGCTGCCGAAGCTAGCACGATATTCTATATATTTTTAAAAAGAGTTTCCTGCTGGGTGCGGTGGTTCTGTAACGCCAGCACTCTGGAAGGCTGAGGCAGGAGGATTGCAAATTTGAGTCACGTGTGGGCAATCTAGTGACTTAGCAAGACCCTGTCTCAAAATTAAACAGTGTTTTTAAAAGGCTGGGGATGTTGTTCAGTGCAAAGGCCCTCGGTTCAATCCCCGGTCCCCTACAAAAATTTTTCTTTAAGTTATTATATGTTGGAGACCAAGACCTATGTGCGCCTCCACCCTCCGTGTGTGCCCCTCCACCTTGTGTGTGTGTGTGCCCCTGATAGGAACTTTACACCCTCCCGGGGGCATTCTAACCCCTCCCGGCGACATTCTGGCCATGCCCTACCTTATCTAGCTGGACCAGCCTAGGTTAGGTAACCTAGCAACCGGAAAAGTCCCTGCTCATCCCTGCCGGCATAAAAGCTGCTGTGTGAGAAATAAAAATTGTCAAAATTTGACCACTAAAAGAGCTCTGTCTGGTTCCTGTCTTTGTGTGTCGTTCCCGTTCCCGATCCGGGTGCTCCCCTTCTTGAGCCCTACTAACAACGAACCCCGCTGGCCGGGGCAATTATATATATGATACATAGTAAAATATATTACATAATAAACATACACATGTTTTAAAGTTATTATATATGTTTTGAAAAATGCAGAAAACCAAATTGAAGGAACTAAAGTCCCTCTTTGTCACACTGTTTGAAGAGAACAACACATTCCTATTTGGATGCGCTTCCTCAGAATTTTTGTCATTCTTTTTAAAGGGGAATTGATAGCGGGTTTTTTGCTTTCTCTTGTTGGGTACCCGGGATCGAACTCGGGCCTTGCGCTTATGAGGCAGGCGGCGGAACCACTGAGCTAAATCCCCAGCCGGCCGGCCCTGATAGTGCTTTTTGATAATTTATAGTTTTTACAATTTTATCAACTGCCTTTCTTCACCTTAACAATGTAACTCTTCCTTGCGTCATTACAATATTTCCAGGATTATTAAGCATCTCAAAAGATTCCATCAGAGATGTTTAGAAGAAAAAGAACATTTTAAACAGGCGGTGGGTGCCACGGTTCCAGTCGGGAAGTGCGCTCCCCTCCACACCCCACGCTACTTGGTATTAGGGCAGCCCAGGAGTCAGAGGCACTGCACCCCTGGTGCTGGGTCCTTTGGGGGCCCACGGGGAGATGGGTTCCAGAACAGCCTCCCCCTTGCTCAGACCCCCAACTCTCTAGCTGCTTAAGTCTCTTGTATAAAACAGCTCCGAACCTAATCTAAACATTATACAGCCGATACATCTATCAAAACGTGAGGCGCTACCCTGTTAACATCTACAGGTTTGAATATTTTATGCATCAGCTAAAAAGTTAATTTAAATACAAAATTAACAACTGAACAAAAACGGGATGGCGCTTGTGCTTAACTTACATGCATCCCCCTGTATACTTTAAATCATGTCTAGATAATTATAATGCCTCCCACAATGAAACTGCTATAGAAACAGTAATCACGCTGTATTGATTAGAGAATGGTGACAAAAACAGTCTGTATCTGTTCAGTGCAAAGACACACAGAAGGGTTTTTTTCCTAAATATTTTCAATCTGTTAACTGGTTAAATCCAAGGATGTAGAAGTGGTGGATACAGAGAGCAGGCTGTATAAAGAGAAAGTGACACGGCCAGGACTGGATTTGGGGCAGGGACGTAAGAACTCTGCAGTGCCTTTCAAACATCGGAAACGGTTGGCAATGATTTTCCAGTTCCTGTCATGAGTTCACATCAGGTCCCTGATTCTCCAGAAAGTGTGGAGAAACCTGTTAGGTCCAAGATAGCAAAGATCTTCTAACTCACTTGTGCTCTGAGGACAGTGTTCAGGGTGACACCTTCCCATCCTCAACCCTCACTTCTAGTCCATTTTTTTTTTTATTTCTGGCTCTTTTGGGTAGCTGGACATCATTGTTCTAGTTTCACTAGACACTAAAACTGTACACAAACATCATATTGATTCACAGTGAATATCCACATCTTCTGTTTTATTTTATGTAAGCATATGCCTGATTTCTAAGATGTAAAGAGAAACCCAAGTTAGATATCTACATTTTTTTAAGACACAAAACAAAACAAGCTGGACACAGTGGTGTATGCCTGAAATCCCAGCCCTCTGGAAGCTGAGGCAGCAGAATCTCTACGAGTTTGAGGCCAGCCTGCACTACATAGTATGAACCTGTCTCAAAACAAAACAAAAAGAACATAGAACAAGGCATGTAGGACATTTTGTGCCAATGGTTCTCACATTATATGAGCACACTCCTCTGCTGACACTTAAAAAAAAAGTACAAGTAGACAAATATTTCACATTTCCTACAAAAGTAGGAAACATTTTAATTTCAAATTTAATCTACCCAAAGTTCAAAACTTTCTGTAGTGCTAAGGAAGTAGACTCGTGATTACAGTCTAGGAAACATCACCCCCGCTGTCACAGGCTCACACAGACTAAAGTCAGAATCAAGGCGCTGGCCTATCTGAGAGACACATTTGAAATCCACCGCGCCCAGACAGGCCAGCCCAGCAGGACTCACCCGGCAGTGTCTGGCATATGTAGCCTCTCTTGCTGTCACAGACATCGTCCATCCATTTCCCCGCGTCCCTTGTTTTCCCTCCTATAATCACAACGCAGTCGGCCTGTGTATTCGCGGGTAGAGGAAGACAAGATAATCAACAATTATGAACATGAATTCATTAAAAAGCAAAAATCTCCAAGGTTCCTAACTTTCAAACTTTATCACTGTTCTGCTTTATGGGTGCTCAGTCCATAGCCATTTTGGGTCCTCCTGTTCCCACTCTGCATGTGGATCCCTTGCATTTCACTCTTGCTCTCCGAACCAAAAATCAAATAGATGGGGATAAATTTGAGACCTAAGACTGGAAAACTCTGTTATCTGAAATGGTGCTAATTGCTACCAAAACTCAGGAACCAAAGACACTAGGAGAACACAATCTTTCTCCACATGAACCCTCTCCCTCCAAACCCAGAAACAGGGGTCCTATTGTTTAGGGAAAATGAGCACAATCCACATTTTATTGCTAACTTCACTTATAAAATAACTATTACAGTTTTGGAGTGAACTGCTATTATAGCTAGAAAGTTTCCTGTCTTCTTTTGGAGGAGATTATGCCAGTGCTGGAAAAATGCTGGACTGTATTTAGTTGTGAATGTTTGTATTTCCATGTTTCTGTAAGATAGCTTAACTGCCAAAAGCAAACCCCAAAGAGTGACATAAAACTCATACCGACCAGGGTTGTCATCCAGTATTAGAAAAAAATTGTGATTACAACATGTACTGGGCTTTTCTAACCTATCAGCTGTAATAATTATAACTCATACTCACAGTATCTGACATGGATCTAAATGTTGCCCATGACCGGTGCAACCACTATGGAAATCAATGTGGAGACACCTCAAAGAGCTGGGACTAGAGGTTCCATTTGACCCAGCCATCCCTCTGCTGGGTATCTTTCCAAAAGAATTAAAAGAATCAGACCATAGTGATATATGCGCAGCTATGTTTATAGCAGCACAGTTTGTAATAGCTAAAACTTGGAAACAGCCCATTTGCCCATCAGTTGAAAACTGGATAAAGAAGATGTGGTTTTTCTATAAAATGGAATACTACTCAGCCATAAAGAATGAGAAATTAGATTAATTCATAGGAAAATGGATACATATTGAGGATATACTCACAAGTGAAATAAATAAGTCACTCATGTGTAGATACTGAATAGTTTGTCTGGTGTGAAAAACTGTAATAGTACATAAGATCCTAATGGGATAATTGACAATGTGAAATAGGAAGAAAAGGGCCAAAGGTGTAGGGAAAGTGGGAAGGGTAGGAGAAGGGTAATAAGGGAAAGAAAAACAATAGAAGAAAATGAAAAAATGGAAATAAAGTGTTTGTAAAGGGGGAGGGGAGGAGGGGGTAAAGGGAGGGCAGAGACAAGGGGAAAAATGAGAACAAAGACCCATCATGTAAAGGTACAAGATCCCAATGATGAATGCAACTGTACTGTGTACCTAAAATGTACCAATAAATTCAATGAGGAAAAAATAAAAATAAATAAATGTTGCCCGTGTATTACTTCAAGTTCACATCAATCCTATAACGTAGGATTGTATTGCAATTGTACCCATTTTTTCGATGAAAGAAATGAAGCACAGGGGAATGAGGATGCTCTCCCAAGGTCACCCAGGTAGTTAGGTGAAAAAAATCAGCATCCAAGTCCCAGACACGCAGTCTCCAAGCCCACCTGTGAACGCCCTACTATAGGGCTCTCCGTGAGAAGGAATCCAAGGTACCCAGGAAAGGAGCCCTGCTTGATAAAAGGCCACAAAGGAAGGAGACATTGAGTACCACCTCTATTGAATGTGCTGCCCACAACTTTCCTAGCCTGCCTTCGTGGAGAGAGAGGGGCCGGCATGGCAAGAACGCAGAGGAGAAATGGAGAGAGCGCCACCCCTGGTCATGCTGGGGAGCTACATGTCACACGTCACCAATCATAAACCATACGCACGCCATATCTCAACATTTCTACAACAAGAGGTGCCTATCACAACTGGCAGTATGACAGAATGTAACAGGTAGAGTCTTTGGTGACACATATAAAGATAGTGGATTTTTCAATCAGTGGTATCTTAGGTGTGATGAAATACTGTAATTTGCCTCAGATCAGACTTTTGTCATGTCAGTATTAAACATTCCTTGCCGTTTCAAATGGCTGAATTGCGCTCGACCTGTACTTGTCTATCGAAACTCACCCTTCCACAGAACTGAGCTGTTGGAGCCACATAACCATAGGGAAGTGGAACTGCCAGCTTCTGGGGCCAGGCTCAACTCTACAAGAAGCTGGCTGCTGATTGTTTAAGTGTCACCTGTATCTCCCTTCCATGGAAATACATATGTATTTCTGCACTGACTTAAACTGTTTTGAAGTCTCTCCATTTTAAGTCCTAAAATTGTAACAAAACATTGTGTATTTTTATTCCATTTTCATGAAATGTAAACTTTATACATTTATACATATTCTGAAAAAATCCACAAGTAAATGCAACAAAAAATAAACTGGTAGGTGTTTTTTTTACCCCCTGCATGGTAAGATTACAGATTCTTTGGTTGGTTGGTTTTTATTGTTTCTCATTTTTTTTAACATTCTCAAAACAACAGAAGTGTACATTGATGATTCTGATTTACACTAAATTCATTTCTCTCCCATTTATCTTTTTAAGCAAATCCTAGCTCACTCCATTTTAATTTCAGTAAATTCTAAGCCTTAATTTATGCAAAGAGGGTCAAAGAATTTTTCCATGGAAAATCACTTACCCATCAACAAAATATATCAAGTTATCATCAAAATCGATTCTGATCAGATCAAATTTTGTCTTGAATCTTACTTTTTTCTATCTACCTGACAAAATGAAAACTCAAAGAGCATCTACAGCTCTCTAAATCCTGCTTTCAAAACTTACTTGTACTTCTTTTATATACGAAAAAGAAAAAAAAAAAAACCTCCTGCCATATTCAAAGCCATTTCCTCCTCCTCCCCAAACATACCTAGGAGTCTCTTTGGAACACTTTGCTCACCTGGCTCAGCTAGCACGGCCTTTCTCATCCTCCTGTGTATTTCCTCTCACGATTATGTTTCTAAGTTTCTCACAGAAAGTATTCGTAGTTGCTTCTCTTTTGTATTCCCTCTCTGTCATGTCACGCACAGACGGTGGCTTCCACAAAGAGCCCCGTATTTAATATCAGCTGACTGAATGACTGCACATTATGCCGAATCTTCCTCTTTAATACAGTACATGAGAGTCGATCACATCTTTCTACGCTGTCATTTCTCTGCTGTCTCCTTCCTCACCTAAGACTTGCTTGCAGTCTGGCTTAAGTGTGAGCCTTTTAAAGGTAAAGACAGATCCTTACATTTTTCCATGATTTTCACAATCCTCATTACGATGGTAGAACCACTGACTGACTATTCAACTATGTAAGAACAAAAGTAGTAATATCAAGACCGTCCCTTAGGATACTGTACAAAACCACCCAGCACCATCTGTGGCACTTCATAAGCACTCTATGGATATGATCTTACTAGTGACAACGGTGGTGTGGATGACATCTTTATAAGCAGTGGCACTGTACCGTAGAAGCTTCCAGACCTGCCATTCTACAACAGCTGCAAGGGACAAAGGGCAGCCGATCCAGAGAAAATTGATAACCACAGGCTGATGACGTGTTTGCCTTGATTACTCACTAGGCTTAGCACGGAGCTTGGTCTCCCTACACTACCACCAATCCTACAAGACAATATATGGCCCTTCTCTCAAGGTTGGCTCCGTGTGACACAGTTAAAATCTGCAAGGAAGTCCCACCTCAAAGACTACACCGATGGACCACTCACAGGAGACTGGTCAGAAGTGAGATGTCAGCACGCAGGTGATAGTGTAGAGACAGGAGATCTGAACGCGATACTCACATCTTCGTAAGAAAGGCTGCTTCTTCTTCCTCCAGGGAAACCTTTCCCCCAGTTCACATACTGCACTCCTCGGCCATCTGTCCAAAGGAACTTGTGCTCTGAATTGACATCATTCATCCCAATCCAGGCATTAAAAGTGGATTCCTTCATGTGAGAGACGAGAAATGCTAAAAGAATAAAAGAAAGTTTCACAAAATGCGTTTAATTTGGGGGTTCATATTCAACACAGGGAAACTATTTAAAAACATGTCAACTTCAGAACACTGCGCATGGGATGTGAGTCTTTATTATTACTTAAAGGAACTTACTATGAAGACATTTTAATCTTAGCACCATATCAAGCTTTGGATGTTGGAGAGTTTCCTACAACGGAAGTCTACGTTTTATCCAGGCCACTCCAAATGGGAATGCAAGCTGTACCCTGTGCAAGGGGCACCAGGGCAAGGGGAGAAAGGGAGGCTGAAGTCCTTCTGGTGCCCCTCTCTGCTATGTGCACCCCAATTTGGCCGTGCCTGCTTACCAGCCTGTAGAGAGGAGTACATTTCCTAATTCATAAAAGCTCGCCCTTTGAGTTCGAAACTGTCCTGATTCTGTAAATCAAATAATCCAGTTATAAGAATTAGAGGAGAGAGGCCTCTGAACTCAGAAAAAAGTTTTGCAAAATCAAAACAAGAGGCACTGGGCTCTCACATAATAATATCTCAGAATGCCAATCCAAAGGAGCTACCCAGTCGGGATTCCTCCTGGACCAGCACTCTTGGGGATCACTGACTGTCTGGGCACGTGCCTGGACCCAGGGTCCATCCTGATGCTAAAGTGATCTCCTCCTCACTGGGCGAAGGGATCTGGAGAAATTGGGAGCATGTACAGCAATGTAGCTTCTTCTTCTTTTTTTTTTTTTTTCTTTTAACCGATTCTGTAGCAGAGGATGATGGCAAATACTCAGAGGCCATGCACGGTTTAACTGTACATGCGCCCACTCCTTTCCTTTAGCTCATCCCTGTGCCTCCTCTAGCCTTCAGCTGCTAGTGACTGTGCCCAAGTCATGAACTCCAAGCTGCATAACCACCTGCTCAGAGGAAGAGCACTATACCCTTAAAGGTGTCTACCAAACGGAAGCAGGAAGCAGTGGCCTCACACACGGGGTGACCAATAGAAGACGCAAATCAAACAAAACAATTTATTCATAAGCAATTTCCACAGAGCAGTCACGGCGGATACTTATTGTGCAGAACAGTAGAAGTAGCAAACACCTCGTGTAGAGATTCACTTTTTCTCAACTAAAGAAACAAAACAACCCCAAAATGACTCTTCATCCATCATCAGGGAAATAAGAGCAGGGGGAGATACTTGTTTTGGTCTTATCTTGTTCCTCAAATAAAACGGTAACTTATGCCTTATCCCTAACTGGAAATAAAATGTGCAAAAGTTCCACCTGCCAATAGTCAGCATTGAATTTTTTTTTTACTGCCAACAGCCACAATAAGAATTCGGCAACGTGTGTGTGTGTGTGTGTGTGTGTGTGTGTGTGTGTGTGTGTGTGTGTGTGTGTGTGTGTGTGTGTGTTGCCAGGAATAATGTTATTTTATCTACAAATTGTTTCCTTCTGCACATCTCTACTACCCAGGTTCTAATTTTGTTATGCCAGGATTCAGCATTTCAAGGTTAAGAGAAGAAATTAATTCCTGTGTTTCTCTGCTGGGTAGCTAAACCCCAGAAAGATGGCAGACCAGTCAAAGAAATGTGAACATTTTATATTCTGGCCTAATATGCTATGGTTTGACCCTTTTCTTCCCAGTATCTAGCAAGTTGTTGAACTTGTCAAAGGTTCTCAGTGAAAGGTTTGTGGTTTATTGGACGAAGTGTTCTAAGAAAGCAGCGTGGCAACATTCACAAACACTGGGGAGACCATTATGAAAATTTTATCTCTTTCTTATACTTTGGGGGATATATCATATTGGGTAGTAAAGGCTTTTGGAGCTCAAGGAATCTTGGAACAAAAGAATATTCAATAACTTCTTCTACAATATCCTCGTGAATGTATACACATGTCAAACTTCTACTGAACATCTTTCCTACACCAGGTACCAGCCATACATGGCTCTAGAGTATTCATCTCAGTGACTCCTGTTCAAGCATTTTCATAATTCCTTCCTCATCTCCCTCACCAAGCAGCTCATCTGATCACTTCTAGCTATTGAAATGACCCCTCATTTTGAGGCTAAATCTATTATTTCTCTGTAACTACCACTACCACTCCATGGCATTAGATTTTCCTTCTGGGCCATACATGAAGACCTTTTCAAAGTTCACTTCCTCTCTCTGCCAACTGTTTAATCTGAGGGTTTCTGTCCCATAATTCGTTTGCAGTGGTTTCTTAAACCTTCATCAGTTTAATCTGAATCTCCTGCAGCTGGCCAACATCCTCCTTCAAGTGCCAATCGCAAATTTAACTTAGTATCTACTTCACCAAAGGTGGCCCCCAAGAGACTACACAGCGTGGTGGGTGCCTTTCTTTTGACAATAAATGCAATGAATGTTGACAATCTGCTATACAGACACAGCAAGTTTTCTCCTTCAGTGTTCTTTGTAGGTCTGGCTTATCTTTATGTTTTATAAAAAATGTTTTTCTGAACTTGTTCAAAGTTCATATTTATCAGTTTGATTGTATCATAAGTTATATGATCAAGCGACAGAAAAAGAAATAAAGGTGAAGTCAGCGATTTTTCATTTCATTCTTAGCACTACTCTTCTGTGATTCTTTAGGACATGAATATTTGGTGGAAACAGAATGGAATGCAAGCTGGCCAGACCTAGGTTTGATCCCCAAACCCACCTCTTATGGGGTAAGTTTCCTGACTCAAGTCTCTCTAAACACTGTTTCCCCTCTGCTTCATGGAGTTGCCATGAAAACGGGAAAGAATTCTATATAAAGAGCCCAGCAAATTGTGCCTACAATTGAATAACCATCCTTTTTAATAAGTGATATTTTCTACTTAGACTAAGAAAGCAAAACAGCAGTACAGTCAGCAATGTCTTACCATTTTATGGGCAAACATACATATTTAAATTCATCACTCATGGGAGGATGGCCCACATACCTTGCTCCTTTTCATTGAGTATGGAAGCCAGATTCCCCTTAAATCCTATGCAAGCTTTTCGTGCCTCTTGCCAGTTTTTTTTCTCTTCTTCAACAAATCCAAAGATTTTGTAACACTGAGATGGAATTTTTTAAAAAAGGGGTTAAAGCTGATAAAGCTGACTCTAAAGAAATTAAAGTTATTCCAGATGATTAACAGTTATTACAGGTAAATATCAATTTTCTCACAGCCAAATAGCAACTTTAAAAATGAAGTTAGCTTTACAACTCAGACTGACTTTGCTAAATTTTAATTCTTCCCTGAGATAGATTACAACTATTTGAATAGCATCTCAAATATGCTTTCAATTTCCAATAAAAGATAATCTTTGGGATCTCTATTTATTCTCGCCAAAAGTCCCCTAAAATGTTGAGGTGGGCAAAAGTTCATTTTGAGCTGAAAGACTTTGCTTTGTCATACTCATTCTGACCAGTACCTTGTTGCTATAAAACTTCCAACCGTCCTTACAGCCCCCTGGGGTCGGGGGTGTGGTGGGCACGGCTGTGGCATTAATGCTGCTGTTGTGCCTCTGGCAAATGAAGGGATTTGGATAACCACAGTTAATGTCGTTCCACAACCCTGGTGAAGAGCAAAAACAGTTAAATTACACTTACATGCTTATGCACAAAAACACTTTTTCAGAATTACGTAAGGATCCTCAAACACTATTTAGAAAGCAATCAAACTTTGTGCGCTGCACAAGTGACTAGAAGAATCCATGCTATTTGTTTCAAGCTGATAACAGTTGAACTCTATGCACCAATTTCTATCTATGACTACGTTCTGTTGCAGAAATATTATCTAGCGAGTAATCCCTGGCAAGAATAATCTAATAATACCTAAGCATCTGCTCAGTTTTAGGTGCATTATCTCATTCATCTTCTCAGCAACAGGTCAATTAAGTCATTGTTCCCATTTTATAGAATAACAAGAAACTGGAGAAACATAAAAGTGATAGACAAACATATTCTAGACATTTTCCTCAAGAACATGAAAAAATGTTTTCCAATTTGGAAAGAAGTGAGAATGCTACGTCACTTATTAGGTTAATGGCAGGCATCCTTAAAATTGAACACTCATTCTGTTAAAACTAGAACCCTCTTCTTTTCCTATATATTGTAAAAGCACGGCTTGTCACTTTTACCCTAAGGCTCAGGAAATGACACATCGCATCACAAAGCACGTTCAAGAAGATTTATGTACTGTGTACCTGAATCTGTATACAAGGTTACACAGTTTTCATCCTCATTTGCAAAATTGGGTTCACCTGGGGCCCAAGACACATAATCCACTTTGCTTCCATCCATCCAACTGGAAAAAAAAATGCAAGAAGTTTTGCAAATATCCAGTCATTAAAAATAATCAGCTATGGCCTAGAAACGGGAAAAGGCAAGTCAGAACGAAGGGAGCACAGGACACTGAGTGAACAGAAGAGAGCACCTAGAGAGACTGACAGGACAACCCCGAAGGCCAGCACACTGGCTGCCTCCTGGGGCTCTGTGCTTCCAAGTAACAACTCTTGACACCTTTTGGGTCCAATTTACAAATAACCCCAGATCACATTTAATCTTGAAAAATGTCACTCGTCCTTGTTTTCAGATATCATCAGCCATCAGTTAATCAGTCACTATCAGAAAGATATGAATATTAAATATTAGTCTGCTTTCTTTTCCCTCCCTGGAAGAAACTGCCTTTAGTCCTGAGGTAGGAGAAGAAATGGAGACTCCAGTGACTCCGGAAGTGGCCCAGAGTCTGAAGTTCTCCCATGGTCCTCCTGGGCATGATTCCCCCTCACCAAACCACCAAGGAGAGGCAGTGAGTACAGAGTTACTCACTAGGCCCTTTCTCTGACTCCTATGTTGATTCAGGTTTGTTTGAAGGCAGATGGGCCAAGCCTGTTTTCATAAGTTCCAGAAATTCAGAGACAGGGAGAGCCAAAAGAAAAAGAGACCATCAAATATGGCCTTCTCGTTTCAGAGATGATAAAATGGGCGCCTGTCCAAAAGAAAATCAAATGTTCCTGTTCCTTAGAAATAACAAGCCTGAATGTAGCTCTCCATTGCTCAAAGATGGCCATAAACGTATCATAAAGTGTCTGTGGCTAAGACATGTGTGCCTGCTGTTCAAATTTAGGAGAACATGTGTACTAATAAATGAGGAAAGAAACCTCAAAAATGTTCTCATTTCTCCATTTTTCATCACTTTTTCTGGCCCTTATATTTAACAGAAAGCAAAATAGTCCTTCTTTTGAACTAAAGTATATTTGAAACCATTGCTGCTAAGCAATGAGTGAAACAGCAAGAAAAATTTTTTAAATAAATTCAAGATACGTATCTATCAAACACATCTTGTCAGTTATGATTTACTGAAACCAAAGATCTCCGAAAATAAAGACAGGTGATATATTGAATGACTAAATCCAATTTTGAATTGTTTAAGAATTATTAATGTTGAAAATACTTAAAAGGATTAATTTCAATTCTTTTTTTTAGAGATGTTTCTTAGAGAATGATACAGGGGTTTTAAAATGTGTTCAGCAAAGCAAAAGTCTCAAAATAACTCAGTATTTTCAGATTGGTTTGTCTGAAACAAACCAACGGATTTACTTACATAAATGTCTTATCCATGCTGATCAATAAACCAATAAAATATGCTGACATTGACGGGGCACCTTTTCTGTTTACCTAGAACACGAAATTTGACACACAGTTTAATTTATAACCACATAATAAGCAAGTTCTTAAACAAAACCCATACATCAATGAAATCACCTATTTGAAAACTCCTCTAAGGAGGAATTCATGCAGAAATATCATGTGTACTAAATTATGTTTCTCATAGAAGTAGAAAGAATACTATGCACATAATTTAACAACAAATATTTGTAAAGCAAATGCTTTAAGTTATTTTCTATAATATATGCCTGTAATGGGTGTTGAAGACATCTTTTCCAAAACAAAAAGGAGCTGGTGAGGATTGTGCCTCAAAAGAAATACTTTTCATCTGTATGTATTTAATACATAACATAGGTTATAAATATGTAAAATACTGCATAGATATATTTTAGGACATGTCCTTAGAATTTCAAAGCAAGCTAAGTTCACACAGATAACAAGTTAGACCACATGATCATACCACTGTAATTAGATGAATTTTTTTCCCTTCAATGTTGATCAACTTATTTTTTTGCTGTTCTCCCTCCTACTTCTCCGGCAAACAGTAACTATGCTGTAAATATTTTTAATCAGGAAGACAATGGGCCAAGCACTCTTAGAAGCAATAAATTAGACCTGCAGTAATAGCTGATAATTTGGGTACAACCAAGAAATATTTTATATGCAAAATCATGCTCTATGTATTAGCTGATGATTTGATCCAACAACTCAGATACTTTAATTAATAACGAATCTGTCTGATATCCACAGGGTCTCTGATGTATAACAATTAGTTAGGAATTATAAACTTTGAACAACAAATTAATAAACTCAAAGCCATTAAATATGGAGCCTTACGAAGCCCAGACTAAAAAAAATGTTTCTGCATTCTACAGTTCTGGCCTGAATATTCAAACCGAAAGGTCTAATTTCCACAAGGGCTTTCTCCTTCAGACCGCCACATCAGTACCACTGAATTTCAGAGCTTCAAGTTCAGCACATAGGTAGAGATTATATCACTTGTAGGCATGATCTACATTTATAGCATGTCACTATACCATTCGTAACCATATTCTTACATATTTCCATAGAAACTTCTTTTCACTTTCACTTTTAACAGTAACAAGATCACCAAAGTTCCTCTTGCAAAAAGCTCGGGCATTGTCCATGCTTTCCTTCTGTTTGCTAAAATAATACTGGTAATCTTTATAAATAACCCACCCATCTTCAGTGACTGGTGGATCTGAAAACATAATGAGAAAAAGTGATGAATGTTACATTAAAAAAAATTAGGATGGGCAGAATAGCTAGGTTAAAGATATATAAAATTCTGAGAGCCCAGAATAAGGAGAATGTCTAGGGCAACTACAGACTAACGTGCCTAAGGCCAAATATCTACTTTCCACCAATCCTCTTAAAACCAGCCAGCTTCTCTTCCCAACCAAGCTCCATGTGTCCTTCCTGGGTAAAAGAATTCCCAGTATCATTTTCATCAATCAGACAGCACAGCTGGAAAGAGCTACCTATGTGAACCCATGGTGTCCTAGGTCCTACATGAGAGCTGTGGGAAATTGGATTTCTTCCTTGTGTAAGAAAGAACCTCTTACAGACGGACTGGACACTTCAGAGAAGAACTGAAGAACCAAGGAATTCACATACCAAGATGTCTAAGGCTTTTGTCTAAATCATGAAGTTTTATGGTTCTAGGCTGTGGGAGGCTAAAGACCCTCCAAGACATTTTGATTCTAATCCCTGCACCTGTGAATGTTATCCTTTAGTGAAAGCCACTTTGTAGATACAATTAAACTAAGGATCTGGAGATGGACAGGTCTGTCTGGATCACCTGGATGAGCCTTGAATATTACCCCAGTGTGTGGACGGAGGGTCGCAGAGGGAGATCTGACTACGTCAGCAGGCAATATGACAACTGAGGCAAGATGCTATACTGCTGGCTCTGAAGACAGAGGAAGGGAGTGTGAACCACCTTTGTGGACTGTGAGAGCTCCCAAAGCTGGTAAAAACAACAAAACAACATTCTCATCAGAGTCTCTGTGGGGAGCTGAATTATGCTGACTTCTGTCTTTTGGCCCAGCGAAAGTGATTTAAGATTTCTGACTTCCAGAACTGCAAGGGAATAAATGTACATTTCCTTTAGCCAAGTGCAGCCACTGGCCATGTATTAAGAAGAGGAAACCTGGCCAAACCTGGCCCTTGAATTTGATTCGTGGACCCATGGGAAGTTATACTAACAGGTCTTATGTTTGTGCATGTGGGCTCCTCTCTGGAAAGAACAATCCAACCTTTCACGAGATTCTCACAGGAATCTCGTTAGGAATTGCTCTCTACCTTCCTAGGGTATTTTTGTTTTCATCAAGATAGGAAAGAGGAGAAAAAGGCAACTCATACAGAGATCAAAAAATACAGAAACACCTACTTTCTTGTGGCGCTGGTGTTGGCTCTGGATTTGGCGTTTTTCCTGTAACACAAAAGAAAATTAGATATAACTGTGCTCCGATCCTTATATTCTTAGGGGGCAAAAGTGCTAAAAATGTTTACCATCTACCCCCTGTCACCCACACACAGGCTCCTATTCATGTGCACCATGGGGAAGGGAGTAAAGGAAAAGGAATTAGGAATTAATATTTAAACAAAGTGTGTACAATAATGGCCAGCAGATATCAGAAGACAGTCTCTAGGCACGAATGATATCATAGAAAGGAGAGAGAAGGACAGGAGCTTTAGAATCAGGAATCCTGCCTCCAAATTCAAAGGCCAGATTTAAGTTCTTTAGCCCTCATTTTCTCAGCTACAAAAAGGAATGAGTAAAATGTGTAAATGGGGTAAAATACAGCATGGGAGTTATTGGTATATAGTAAGTGTTCAACAGATATGAGTTTTCCACAGAACAGAGGATGCAAAAGCGACTCCAGGGATATTTAGCCATCTGACCTTTGACAACAGGGCCAAAAACATAAACTGGAGGAAAGACAGCCACTTTAATGCATGGCGATGGGAAAACTGGCTGTCCCGATGTACAGGATGGAATCTAAATCCATATGATTCAGCATGCACTAAAATATCAAAATAGATTAAAGACCCAAATATCAAAATAAACAACCTGAGCCGGGTGTCATGGCTCACGCCTGTAATCCCAGCACACGGGAGGCTGAGGCAGGAGGATTGCTGTGAGTTCCAGACCAGCCTGGGCTACATAGTGAGTTCCAGGTCAGTCTCAATTACATAGTGAGACCCTGTCTCAAAAAATAAATAAATACATAAACAATTTGCTGGAAGATAAAATAGGAAAAACTCTTGAAAATATAGGGATGGGCAATTAGCCTCAATTGCAAAAAATAATAATAATAGAATATAATAACATCAAGAATCAATAAACAGAGTAATATCAAATTACAAAGCTTCAGCACTGCAAAGTGAAGCTATAGCCTACAGAGTGGGAAAACATTTTGCCGACTACTCCTTGGTCAGGGGACTAATATCTAGAATATATAGAGAACTCAAAGGAATTAGATATACTCAAGTAAAAGACCCAATCAAAAAATGAGCGACTGAAACAAAGAAACACTTCCCAGAATAAGAAGTACAAATGGCCAGCACATTAAAAAATATTCAGAATCTCTGGCCATTTGAGAAATACAAATTAAAACAACATACATTTAATCTTAGGGGGAAAAACCTGTAATCATCAAGACATCAAATAATAAAAAATGCTGGTGAGGCTGCGGGGAAAGGGAACCTTTCTGTGTTGGGGGTGCTGATATAAACTAGTGCAACCACTATGCAAGTCCATATGGAGATGCCGAAAAATACTACAAATAATAATTTCATTCAACCCAGCTATTCCCCTTAAATCTTCCTGAAAGAGTTACAGAGACCTGTGCATACCCTTGTTTATAGCAGCACATCTCATAACAGCTAAATATTGGAAGTAGACTACATGTCCACCAATGGATGATTGGATGGAAAAGGTGGTACTCAAACACAATGCAGCACTACTCTGTTATAAAGAAGGACACATGAGAGGCATTTGTAGGAAACTGGATGCATCTTGAGACCATAATACTAAATGAAATAAATCAGGCACATAAGCTTAAATATGGTATGGCTTCTCTTAAATGAGAAACACAAAGTATAAATAAATTAAAGCGAAAAGTAGAAGATAGATAATGGGAAACAAGGTGATCGATCTTTTATAAATGGGAAAGGGATCAAGAGCTGTGGGAGGAGAGGAAGAGGACATAAGAAGAGGTAAGATGTGGTAGGTACGTGCACAAGCTCCCCATGTGAACGCAATCATTATGTGCTGCAAACGTGCTAGTAAAAATTAAAATTAGAAAACATACTAGTTTTCCAGTCGGACACTTTATTATTAGCTGTAAACTTACTTACAATTACATTCTTTGAAACCATTCCATGTGAACTCTTTGCTTATACAACACCAATGTATTTTCTTCAAAGAAGCTTATTAAATGTATGTTTTGCTAAAATTTAAATAAAGTAGTTTTCTTCCCAAGTAGTCCATAACATATCTAGATTTTGTTGGACTCTGACAAAAAAGGCTCAGGTTACCTAGCTTGGGGCTTAATATATTAAATATCCGTGAGAACAGAGCAAAACTATGGTTGATATAAAAAGGATACTACCAGTCACTGGTAGCTAGGAGACCTTAAAAAAAAAAAAAAACTTGGCCCATTGGAGAAAGAATAAGGAAAGAAGTAAGGAAAAAGGAAAATATGGGGAGAGAGGAAGGAAAGGAGTAAGGAGCACATGCAGATAAGACAGCAGGAGGTCAGTGAGCAACTCTGCCAGGACAGCTGACCATGGACAGAGTCCCCCATCATCATGGGGCAGTGCAGAGCCCTTTGTCCACTGACAGTGGAGAAAGTTGATCTATCTTTTGGTCCAAGAATAGGTCTGTTTATTTGCCTGTTTTTCTTAAACTAAGACCCCGGCTCCTCCAACTGTGTCGCTGGACTTGGATACATGGAACTTTCTGAGTCACCCACCATCCATGAAGGGGTGGATCTAAAACCAACAGGAGCCTCCGGATGTTGTCTGTTCATAACGCTGAACATTCATTTCAGAAATCAGTGCTTAAAATATTCAGACTTGGGGACAGTTTTCCCTATCTGATAACTAGTCTGGAAATCCAGAAGGTAAACGTTCCAAAAAAGAGACGGCATTGCCTTTTCCTGACTTCGCTTCACAGTGCAGGACACGCCCCTCCCGCCCAATCCTGCCATGGCAGACCGTGGGCCAGCGTAGCTGCTCATGAGAACAATTCTAATGGACGTGACTCTTGTCCAGAATTCTGGGGTGGCCTTTTGATCTTCTGTTCCTTTGGAACGTGTATCTGTGCTCAGCGGTTTCCTTCTTATCGTATGAAATAGTGACCCCTAACAGTTCCCTTATTCTGTTATTTTATTTGGTTTCACTAATCAAAGGAAGATTCTGGGGTGTCGGGTTGGTTTTCCAATCTGAGAGGTAGACAATCATACCTTTTTGTATCTGACAAATCCAATTGTTAAGATGTTCACAGTTAATGTCATTCCAGAACATATTAGGGTCACCTTTCATCTCACCACAGTATTCAACATTATTATAATTATTGGGTTCCCCATAAGCCCAGTTTTCATAGGAAACCTGTGTTGGAAACATCACACTTGATTTTAGCCAAAAGGCCAAGAAAAAATACACTATCAGAAACATTAAATCACAATTTTTATCATTTATGTCAGGCCAATGCCAATCATCTATTCAAGCAGAGAAAAAAGAAAAGATATGTTTGCATTTTTCTTCCATTTACCCATTTTTTTCACAGTTGCTTTGCTTTGAAAACAATTTAAGAACATGGGTGGAAAAGGAACAGCCTTTATTACACGGAAACTTTTGTAGCTAATGAGAGTAGACAATTCGTTATTACAAGATTTTCTTTACTCTCATTAAATAGAATGAATTCAAGCACCACAAAAATAGGATTTATGTATAGGAAAAACTTGGCAAAAGAGTTCTACTTCTCAGCATTGGAAGTTGCTAAGTTGGCAACCCATTCTTATAGGGTAATATTTCAGCAGTTTTCTGGAAGCTTTCTCCTTACTGGATGAGTAGGAAAAAGAAATACAATTAATTCTTCTTATAGGAGAAAAAGACCTATAAAATATTGCTAACAAAGCTGCCAAACTTTGCCAAAATGAACAGTGGACATAATGGAAAGCCCTGGGCTTTCAGAGACTACAAAGTTTTGGGCTAAGCATCATGATCTATTTTCTAGAGATATAAATACAAAATCCAAATATTAATGGAGCCATCAAACAGACCATTACCCCACGTGCCTTGAAAAGTGGGAAGATGGGTTATTCAGGAAGGCAGAACTGAAATTATACGAAATCATTTCCTGTGGTGACTGCAGAAGCTAAATATCGCCAGCAATGCCAATAACTTCTCATTTCTCCAATTCTGGGAATGGGGAAGTTACACGAGCCCTGATGGTGACCAGAGGGACTGGCACGTTGTGCCCACTTGTGCTGACCTAGGAGAGGCTCGGTTGTGAAGAAGCGCAGCACTGTACGCATCAGTGTCGTACAGAATGGAGATATTTTAGATAAACTACTGAAATATGTTTCATTCCTTCTTTTGCATCCAGCCAACCATAGCTATGCTTTGAGTAAGCAGAACTAAATGAGGCAAGGACAAAACAGTAGCCCTAAATTTGTGTTTATTTTGTATAGAAAAATAACAGCTATCACAACAACCTGTCTAACAAAAAAAAAATTTTTTTAACTAAACCGAAGGATAACAAAAATAAATATGTGGTAAAGAAAATGATATAATAAATCAAATTATTCACCGGAGAACCATCAGTCCAGGTGAATCCTTCTGAAGTACCTCCATAAGTCAGTCCCAGCCAGAACATCTCATGATAACTCACGGTACTCCTACAAAACATAAAGCGGGCATATGCTACTGAACAGAACAGGTCCGGTCACCTCCAAGAATTAACCAGAATCGAAAGTTACCTCCAAAACTAAATCAGATAGTGCAGGAGTAAGTAGCTCTAACAACCAGTGATAAAATGCAAAGATGTGCATCTTGGTACAAACCATACATATCTTGAAAACGGTCCTGTGTGACAATAAATTACTGTAAAGTATTGGGAGATATTCATTCATTCATTCTACAGATATATAATGGGCATTTTTTTTTACCTTTCCAGATTAATACATTGATGGATTTACATGTTTAAAATTAAAGAACTCTGAACTTAAACTCAATTTAAAAAGGCCCATGAATTTGAGACATGATACAGGAATTCAGAGTAGCATCCTAAACCAATAATTTCAGAAATATTGGTATTTTCTTAATATCATTCTCACATAACAGGTAAAAGAAAAAAGCGTTATATGGAAAAGATACTCACGTTATTAATCTCCATATTGTTTGCTGTTCCTCTTTACTCTTGATAGTGGCTAGCTCTCCACCCAGGGCTCTACAAAAATCTCGAGATTCAAACCATGTTTTCTTCTCATGTTTTGCTTTTGCAAACAGCTAAAGATGATATGATTTCAGAAATTATTTTATACTTCACAGCTAATCAAATTGGGAGAAATAATCATTTCCTTTGGATGAGATTTCATCGATAGAAAAGCAAAGCATTGCCATGGCCTGAAACAATGCAACTCTCTTGATTTAAAGTCAATTTATTAGTGACTGTTTGGGTTATAAAACTTGGGACAGTTTTGTTGAGGAAAAAAAAAAACTTAGAAACTGTAGGAATGTGGATTAGGTAAACAGCTTATTGTGGAAGGGTTCATTTGGTTATGTGGGAACCGTAGCACTGAACTGCCAAAAACAAAAAAAGTGCTGATATGGAGAAGATAAACACAAATAAGGGATATTTTAGGGAAAACGGCCTTCCTAAAATTGTGCCACAGTCTGTTATCCTGTTTCACTTGAACAATGAACAATCTGGCAGCCTTTCAATACACTGCCAGGAACGTTCTTCAAAACTATGTCTTTGTTCCCTCCAGTTGCACATTGTAAACAAGTTATTAGAGCACACGCTGTAACAGAAAGTCACCTGGCAGAAATGGCTGTTAGGCCACACTAAACTTAGCCAATTTCATAATTTAGAGACTCTATCATACTATCCAGAGGGCTACAAATGGAACCACAGATGGGATTCACGGTAACATTCTGGGACATACCCATCCCAGCCACCAACTTTCATAATTATCATTCATTTCCCTCGTTATTCACGGCCCCCACCAGCATAGGTTTGTGGAAAAAAGGAATTTGCTTCCAATGGGCTACGGATACCCAGGTAGCAACGTAAGACAGGTTTGCCCTTGATCTGCACTTGACTTGTGCTCACTGAGCTGACTGAGCACATTTCCATATCCGTAGCTCCCAGGACGCCTGTGAGTACTTCAACCTACTAGATTATGATCTGCGATTTTGTTTTCTCAAAGAAACTTATTTCCAGCTGAATTTTGTTGATTTTGGCACCTTGACATTTACAAACACGGTATGTAGGTTTCCAGACCAATCCTATCCCAGGCACCTCTAAGGCCATGTGTTTCCAGTGCGATGTGCACCTTTGTCTGTCACACTTCGGCCTGTATGTTGTCTGAAGCAGAGTCACCGATTCACTTCCCAGCTCCAGATATCCCTGCTGCTCCTCTCAAGTAACTGTGATGATGCTCCATTGCCTTACCACCCTCTGGCAAAGGGTTTGTAAGATGAATCTGGTTCTTGTTCCATGATGCAAGACTTCCAGAGGTACCGATAAAATACCTGATTTGCTTTGTGGCAGTCTGTCGATACTCTGCTTACAAAATCCTTTTCTTGACTTAGCCCAATATATTCCCTCATGCATAAATTATGCTTCTAACCCTGACTGAATCACACCAAGTACAACCTTCTTGAGTTAGGGAAGACTAAACCACTTCCTTCTGAAACAATTTCTTCCCCTCTAATATTTGTGTGCCCCAGTGCTGGGGATCTAACTCCGAGCCTTGCACATGCTAGCAAGCGCTTGCCACAGAGCTACATCCCTTGGCCCTGGCAAAAGCTCTTCATCAGTCTTGACAAACTGCCTCACAAAGCGTGTCATGCCATACGCTGTCCAAAGGTATGGAGTAAAAGCAATCCTGAGAGCAGAACAGGTATCAGTAAGCAGAAGATACAGTTCTCCACTTGGCTAAATCTTTTTCTAGGAAAGACATGACTTACCAGAGAGGAAAAAAAGACCCAAACCCTTAGTGCGTTGGAGTGTTTGTTATGTTTTTGTATGTTTCCGTTTTGTTTTCTATGTTTGTCTAGCTAACTTTATTTTGGTGAACTTCATTGCATAAAGAAAAAATTGATACCCCAATCTAAGAATATACAAAATAATAGTAGAATATTGAATTGTCTTTTAAAGGGCTTTGAGAGGTCAGGTATCCCTACCTATCGGTGCCTTCATCTCCCATCATTATAATCACTGGAGGTTAAATTTTAAAAATGGAGCATTCTCTGTAGAAAACCTATGTGGTATTATAGATCAGTTAATCAATTATGTTAGCTAAAATCCTGGGTTCCAAGGGCAGAACAAAAATGAGATGCAATAGGATAGCATGAAGGAGAACAACATTTTTCGTAAAGATGGAAAGATTTATGAGCTCAGGACAGGAACAGAAGGCCCGGGAGAAAGAAGAGAAACGGAGAAGAGGTGACAATGAAAACCCAGATGAGGAAGACCGTGAGGTGCATTTGCTCCTTCGTTATTTTTGTTCTAAATGTAACTGGCCATTAGAATCCAACCAAGTAACGCTTGAAAACAATTGATGCCCAGGTACCATCCAAATCAACAAGACCAGATACAGTATCTCCAGGTGGAGCCTGGACAACAATGTGTTCTCTTCTTGCTTTTTTAATTCCTTGGGTGACTCTTAGAGATACTTCAAATTCTTTATCACTTTAGTAATTGATTCTTACCTTGAAACAAGAGCTTGTCTTACTGGTGGTACCCCAATCCTCTGGGCATTTGGGCTCAGGCGTTGTTGTGGGCTCTGGTGGGCGAGTTACTCCTTCTGCCCAGTGCTTGCACACAAATTTTGCTCTCTGGTCACATTTCAGAACATCCCATAAGCCCCCTGCAATTCCGGTCTTCATGGCGACACAACCTGCCTTTCGGCCTATGATAAAAATTAAACACATAAAGTAGCACTCACTCAACAAGTGCTCACCTAACGCTACGGCTTAGATGGAGAACGTGCCCCCAGGCCTTGTGTCTTCAAAGGCGAAGGTGACTGGATCACTGGGACACTGAGTTCATCAGTAGGTTCACTGACTAATGAGTTCAGCTGCTGAGTGTGCAGTCAGGAGCTGGGACCTGGCTGGAGAAGGGTCACTGCGGGTGTGACGCAGAAGGGTCTATTTCCTTCCCGGCTCCTCCCTTCTCTTGCTACTTTCTGGCCGCCATGATGTGAGCATTTTCTTCTGCCAGACCCTTCCACCACGTTCTCCTGCCTTGGAGCCAGCCAACTATGGTCTGAAAACAACGTGAGCCAAAATAACCTTTTCTCCTTTGAGCTGTGGGTGTTGGGTATTTCTTTCCCAGCGATGAGAAAGTGAACTCAAAACTGAGTGTGAAAGTGTATGCTAATATCTTAGAAGAAGCTACTGTAACACTATAGTTGGTGTGTGCTATTTCACACCACTTTTGGCTTTTATTTGTGGAGCCTATATCCCGAAATGAATTATGTTGTCAAGTTGGGAATTTTTTATAACATTTTGTATTTCTAACATCTGCCAGGGTGCCCTACACATAGGCATTTAATGACAGAGTATTTTTAGTATGATCAAATTTGCCATAGTGGCAAAAATACTGATTTAATGGCTTTTTCTTCTTACTTCCTCCCTGCCTTACTCCCTTCCTCTTGGGCTCCAGTTTGATGTACTTTTTTTACTCCCCAAGGACATTCCAGGCTTCATCTCTCAGAATCCTACAGCTAAATGACCAACAGAGGCAAAGTAAAGCCAGATAATAAGAATTGACCAGTCTTATGAGGATTTTTTTAAAAATATGAATTCAGCTCTTAATATATTACGCCTTATTTCTTAAATTATCTAAAATCTTAGTATTTTTCATACAGTTTAATAACTTAATTAAAAAAGCATCATACTGCTCAGTTTATTGATACAATTTCCTTACAGGAAGCTGAAAATACAAATTAAAATAACGCCTAGAGATCAGGATCTATTAGGCAAAGTAGTAAATTCCTACTCTTGGGCTATTATTCCATTTTTAGCTCTTGACCAGGTATAATGAAATATTTCCTCAAAGGATGTTGAACTCTCTGGATGTTATCACATTGCGTCATGTTGGATGCCAGTGGTATCAGTGTAAAATAAGACAAAGAGTTTTTCAGACTCTATTCCAGAAATCACAGTCTCTAATCGTGGAAGATGAGTCCAAACTGATAGCTGGCTGGTGGATCCAAGTACAAACAGCACAAGTTTGGTACCTACCTACTACATTAGTCTAAACCCATGCTCAGAAATTTTCTAATCACATAATTTTTTTGGAGTCCCAATTTCCACATCTTTTAAGTAAAGATATTTAAACTTATCTTCGAGGGTTCATACAAGGACAGAAAAATAAAATCCAAGGCATATATAGGTCTAAACACAGTGATACATTCAAGATAATCAGAGCAATAAATTCTACATAAACACTGCCTTTACCCCACCCCTCAAAAACACTAATATTTCTATTCACAGTTGCACTGAAAAGCTTTATATCCATTTCATGTAGTTTTACGTTTTCAAAAATAAGATGACTATTCACAACATGCGTGACCACTTAGGATTTCATAAGTGTTTTTCAAATAGACTAGAAGCAAATAACTAGCAATTTTCTCTTCCTTTTTTTTTTTTCTTAGTACACTGCGAACTCATTGGGATTTGATTAAAAAATAAAGGAAAGGAAGAAAGTAGAAATATTAAAAGTTACTGAAAGCACAATGAACTGGCATAGTCCAATTGATTGCACAGCTTACTTGGAAAGGTACACAGAGGGGTAACTGTCCCTGCTGGGTGATGGGCAGGGTGAACACAGCCTTCAGTCCCACCCCTGCTCCTACCTGGCATGTCTGCATTCCAGTGTGTGAACTGGACCTCCTCCTGCACGGTCCACTGAAAGGTCCCTTTGACTTGTACATCCGAAAGTCCTGTCCAAAAATATTTTTCAGGCCTCAGTCCAACCAAACTAGTCAGGAATGCTTGTTCATATCTTTAAAATAAAAATTAACATTCAACTAGTCTTTAGGAACACGTATGTACATTTTCAAATATCAACCTGAAAACTCCCTCAGCTCTATGAGCTATGATTCAGTTGGTAATCCAATGCATTTTGTTTATATGTCATTTGGATTTTAATAATTTTTACTAGAGAAATGTGAGTTGACAAGGGGAAAATGTCATGTACCTGAGCAAATAAAATGATTTGAGATACTCAGATTATTTCTTCCTAGCTCTGTAAACCCTGTGCCCTTCCCCAAAATTTAAGAGAATTTTTGAAAACACAAAATAATTGTGAAAACAGCAATTTTTAAAAAATTATTTAAAAACTCAGTCCAATTTTTCAAATAAACCAAGTGCTGTACTTGATTCTTGATTAAGCACATAAAAGAGAGACACTAACGCTTTCAAGGATAATTGAATAGTTTTTCCCTCTAAATTTCATACCTCAGCCATGAAACAAAAAACTATCAAGAAATACACAAAAGCAGATCCAATTTCTAGAAAGAGCTTGGAGCAGAATGAGAAATTCTAACACCCTTCTTCCCTCCGGATTCTCAGATATGGCGCTGGTAACAGTACACCTCAACTGGCAAGACAACCACGGCAGAAAGGCAAGGTGAGGAGACCCCGCGAAAACTGAACGTGTGTTACATAGTCTGAATAACTTCATACCCTACACAGAGTGAATAAACAAACAAAAGGTCCAAATGCAATTACTGTTCTTAAAAGTCTGAAAACCAAATTTAACAACAGAGTTAGGGAGCTCCAGAATACAAATATCACAGAAAACACCTAAAGAAAAACAAATATAAAATGTAGCGAAATCTGTACATCGTTCTCCCATAGACTAATCATAGCACAGACAAGAAATGGCCCTATGAGCAGTTTGATGTAAGCTAAAAAACCCTTGATATAAGCTAAAAAGTATCTGCATTATGATTTTCAGATATGTGCCTTGTATTAGTGTGCTATGAGACAAATATAAATTGAAAACTGTTCCTTTATAAAGACTGCAAATTGCAAATGTTAGCTGATGGTTGTTTTTAATCAATGGATTTTTTGAGACAGGGTCTCATTGTGTACTTGAGACTGACCTGGAACTCACTATGTAGCCTAGGCTGGTCTCGAACTCACAGTGATCCTCCTGCCTCAGCCTCCTGAGTGCTGGGATTACAGGAGTGTGCCACCACACCCAGCTATCAAAGGATTTTTTAAATTAGTCATGCTACCTAGGTTTTTACTGGACCTGCCTTGAATTGGCAATAAATATAATTTATTATATTGAAATTCAACAGTTGTCTACTTCTTCTAACGAACATTTTCAACCTTCCTTTAAGTTTGTTTATGGTGTTATCCAAGGCTTTGCGAAGAGTACGTGAAGAATAAGTAAATAATTCTCAAACCTGGCAGGTGCCCTAGAGATCAAAAACACCCAAACTCTCCTATGTTCATTCAATTTTATTAACCTATCAGTATATTAATCAAGCAAAGCAAAGAAAGAAAAGGTAAGATGGAAAGAATGAATAAATGATTTTGTATGATCTTGTAATGTGTATAATGGAGGAAAGAAGGCAGCACAGAAAGGCCAAGAATCTGAACGGATAAGACTTACAAGGTTCACTCACCCAGGCTACTAACGACCATGCCTAGAAAATGCTATCGCCCATGAAAGAACCAAAAGGACAAGGTTCAGGGAGCTCCCAGACAGCTGAACACATGAGGTGCCCAGAGGTCTACGCAACCAGAAAAGGCAAGGACACCTCACGCCCCTTCTCCCACACCTCACACTGTGCATCCCTTCATCTGTGTCCTTCACAATAAACCAGTAAAGTGTAATGTTTCCTTGGGTTCTGAGCTGCTCGAACCCAACTTAGATGAACCCAAGAAGTAGGCATGGGAGCTCCTCTCCGTAGCCTGACTGTCAGAAGCACAGACGAGCCTGGGGCTTGAGACTGGTGTCAGAAGGGATGGGTAGGGACAGCCTTGGGACCAAGCCCTCACCCCAACTCCATCTCCAGAAAGACAGTGCCAGAAGTGAATGGGATCCGAGGATAGCCAGCTGGTGTCCACAGCCTAACTGTTTGCTGGCTGGTGGTGAGAAATCCCCACACCACTGAGGTCACAGGTGATCTATGTTGTGAGTGGCTACTGGAAGACAATGAGTTTGATTTGGTCTTTCCTTTATTTTTTGTTTTGTTTTGTTTTCTGCAGTGCCAAGGATCAAACTCAGGACCTTACGCTTTCGAGGCAGGTGGCAGTACCATTGAGCTAAATTATCGGCCCTTGGTCTTTCCTTCTATACCCTCAGGTTCAGTTCTCTCTGGTCTCTTTGTGGTAGAAAGAACGGTAAAGATATACTACTGCAGGCTTTTGAGCTGTAGAATTTCACTTCCACCTCTATAAAATGTTGAGGTACAGATCAGAAGAGAGTTAATTCTGCAAACTAGCAATTCAGGAGATTCCTAGTAAATTGCTATATAGGACTAAATGTAATAAAATGTTTTCTAATGTTTGCATTGAAGCATCTAAATAAAAATATTAGTTTTGATGTTTCTGCCTTTATAAACCATACACTCAGGATCATATCTAACTTACTCAGAAACTGGGGGGATTCTGATGCTTAGGATTTTCTGAAAACTGTGTACTCTTTGAGACAGTTTTATATGAAATTAAAATAGTTACATACCTGTCTTCAATAGTTACTAAGTAAGCCTTCGCATTGTTGCATGTTTGGTTTGCTTCTGTAAATGTGGACAGTGTGTTTCCAATCAAATAGCAGTAGAAGCCATATCGTTTCCAGCCCTGTTGATGTCATCAAGCAATAAAGAAATAAGTAAATCATCATATGTATTTATTAGAAAATATTATTTCATAATCATGACATAAACTGATAAACTGCAGAAATGTCTAAAGGACACAAATCTGAAGGGTCTGAAATGAAAATTTCATAGATGAATAAAGAAAACAGGAGTATATGGCTCCTTGTGTGACAAATTATAAGACCAAACTGAAGGGAACGGAAATCACTCTCTCCAATTCAGATGCATGTGCCAAGGAAGACTCCTTGTGAAGTGTTGAGTCACTGATGGGAACCCTCCAGATACCAAAAATCTGTAGAATACTAAAAGCAGAATGAAATATGCACCAGCTGTTTTTGCATGCACCTTGAGTGAATCGAATATAGATTAGGGTCCAACAGTGTTGGAATACTTCTGTCCATACAGAAAACCATATTTGGCCTTTAACACAACTATGGCAGGGAATTGAAACTGAGGTCCTTGTATGAAGAAGACACCATTAAGGGCAGACCTTCCTCGAAAGGAGAACTAAAAAGACCTAGCCAGAGAAGCCAAAAATGATAGAGTTCTGTCACCACTCTGAGGTTCTAAGTACCAGAAAAAACAAATTATCAAGCCTGTGACACGGTTGGGTGACAGTTCTGACTTTATACTGGTTCACATTATGTGAAAATCCACAGCCCCCAAATGGAATCTTTTGGGTACTCAAAGAAATAAAATGCAAAATCAGACAAAAGAAAAATTTCGACCAACCAGGTCACAGTGATAACAATGGGAATGAATGTGGGCACTAACTCACAATAAAAAAAAAAACATGTAGAAATGACTCAATATAAAGGAGACTCAACAACTTAATATAATAGAGCAATCTAAAAACAGTCTAAAAATGAGCATGCTTGAGATGATTTAATGACAAAAGAAATAGAACCAATAATAAAAGATCAAAATACTATGCACAAAAAAGAAGATCTGAATCAATAAAGAGAATTTCTAGGGAAAATATATAGTAACAATGTTTAAAAAACAATGGTCAGATTACATATAGTAGGGCTTCACAGAGAATTAATAAATAGGACGACTATAGCACAAAGAGAGCTGGAAAATAAAAGGGAGTTAAAGAAAGAGTTATAAAATTAACAAGTGAGCATTTTCAAGGACTGAAAGATATGAATTTTCAAAGTGAAGAATTGCACTGCATATGAAAAAGAAAAAACAAAATAAGTCCTAATCTAAATATACTGTGAGAAGCACACAGAATGTAAAGACAATGAGAAGATCTTAAAATTAATCAAGGAGAAAAGACAGAATATGCACTTAAAAGAAGGAGAAGAATGGATATAATAATAAACACTCTAGTGGCAAAAATAAGGGCCAGGCGAAAACGAAGTAAGTACAATTTGTTGTCAGAAAACAGCTGTCAATTTAGAATTCCGAACTGACACGGTTAAACAATTAATCAGGATCAGGAGGAATTTCAGACATCTTCAGACAGCTTTCGGCTCTTGGATATTCAGTAAGAGAACTGAAAAACTGACTCTGAAAAGAAGGAATTTTAAAGACAGGAAGAATGACTAAAAGGTCTATATTGACCAAGAAATTGATAAGCATTTTGTAAATGCAGCTCTAATAAATAACAATGATAGCTATTTAGGGGTAAGGGGAGAGTTAAAGAATGGAACAAGAATAATATAGGTAGTTAATAGCATCATGTGAATGTTAATCATTTGGTTATTGTGATAAACTCTACTTAGATAAGCTGCTATCTATGAAAAAAACTGAAATAGATTAGGTGAAACTACTATTTTTGCAACTTCTTTTGAGTTTAATATTATTTCAAAATTTAAAGTTTAAACCATATTAAGTGAAAAATTGTAATTTTTGCTTTGTTCAGGCATCAGATATAGATATGAATTTTATCTAGTCAGGAAAATGTAAGATTAATTATTCAAAGTCACAAGTATAAAGTATAATTTCCAAATCTGTATAGGAGGGAAGTGGAATAAAAATCACTCAACCACTAGAATGCATGGAAAGAGAAAATAGAGGGCCGGAGATTTAGCTCAGTGGTTCGGCCATCTGCCTCACAGGTACAAAGTTCCAAGTTCAATCCCCGGTACCAAAAAAAAAAAAAAAGAGAGAGAGAGAGAGAGAGAGAAAATAGAAAGCAAAGAATTATAAAACAGAATACAAACTAGATGGTGGAAATGAATCTAAATATATCAGAAAGAACCCAAATTCATCTGTTCACTAGATAAAAGCCAGAGTTCCTCAAATCAGAGTAAAAATGAAGATACACATTTCTATGATATTTGTAAAAGTTAATGATATGTCAACATTAATATTAAATAAAATCAACTTTAATGGCAAAACGGCATTCTTAGGAATTAAGTGATTACACGAGAATTAAAGGGTCCAATCAGCAGGAAGATAAACTACACAGCCTCCAAAGCATATTCATTACAAATTTCCAGAATTACAACCCAAATATTTTGTCAAATAAAATGTAGACTATCTAGATAATGCAACTGAAAAATTCTATTTAATCAATACAGAAAGATCTCTGGTACCCAATGATCAATGAAAATCCTACTGAATCACACATGGAATATTCACAGAAACTGATCTAGGGCATGAAGAAAATTTCAACAAATAACATCAAAGAAATCTTTATATGATCACAATTACCAAAAATCAGTAATATCTCTCAAACATTTGGAAAATACATTAAATTCTACTACCAAACCCCTACCACCACCCCCTTTCTTTCTCTCTCCGAAAAAAATGAATCAAAGAAATTCCAGTGGAAATAAAAATATTTTGGCTTGCAGCATAATAAAAATACCAAGTAAAACTTGGTGACTAATCCATGATTTTAATTCCATCTTTTCTTTCTGTAAGCGTTTTACAGCACATTTATTTTCATGTCACATCTATCAATCCTTCCTTTGATAACAAGACCTTATATCTGCATCTGTCGGGGAGATTGAAATGTTAGCAACTCGGACTACTTCATGTTAATTTCTCGGTCCAGGGCAAGGATGGCGAACCTTTCAGAGCTTTCGACGATATCAACAGTCGGCTGTGGCGTGCGTGCCATAGGTTCGCCACCTCTGGTTTAGGATATCCTCGTCTAACAGCACTGAATAAAATTGAGTCCCAGCTTTATGGTAACAGACTTGTGGTTTTGAACTCTGGGAAAGATCACTACACCACACATGCTTGAACAAAATATATGCCTTGTCGTCTTCCTTTGCTGGAAAATACAATCCCCCTCCCCCGTATTCCTAGTCCTTTTAGAAAGCAACTATTTTTAAATTGGCCAGATTATATAATCTCTCTGAGCCCCAAGTTCCTCTTCTTTCTACTTAGGACTAGAACAATTCTTCTGTAAGATTATGAGAACATAATAATAAGTGGATTTGATAATGATTGCTCTTGTTTTATTACTATTCTAAGGACTAAACTGGATTATCAGAGATTGGTAAATATATGACAGTGGAAAAATACACAATTTAATGTATAGAGGGAATATGTATATTATTCTAGTGAACAGCAATAATATACCATCTCTTGTACATGCATATTATTGGACAAAAATATGTAAATATGTTGGTAGTGAAACAGTGCAGCAACCTGGGTACAGGGGGCAGGGGTGCCAGTCTCACCTGTATTAACTCTAAGAATGCTATGCAGCTTCAGAACCAACAATTAGATAAAGAATTTGGGCCACTGTTAAGACCCTTCACATTGCCCACATTTTACGATTTTCTGTTCTCGGTTCCAATTTTTTTTTTTTTTTTGTGGTTCATTTGTATGGTTCCAATTTCCTTTTCACAAATTCATAGTCCCGTGGTGTTTGCTATACAGCGATACGACCACAATCTAACACTCTTGGCAAGACAATGAGTTCGTACTTCACTTTTATTCAGGAGAAGTGAGAAAGGACAAAAGAGGAAGATGAGCAACTTGACAATCAAACAGGAAAATAATGATCAGAAACCTGCAAAACTATTTTTGTAGTTTCTTTGTGCTTTTCAAAATTATTGTACGGACACTTTGCTTTAACCTCCAGGAGCAGTAAGACACACCAGGAGGTGTTACTCACTGTCACTGGGGAGGCTGAGGTCCAATAGGCTTGTAAGACTGACTCTTCAGAGTAACCAAGTCACTCTGCACACCAGGGGAAGCCCAGAATTCCTGCTTCCTGCTGTACGGATCTACTGAGAAGATCCTCCTCTAGAAGAATGCTTGTTAAAAATACTATAAATGAGACTATCCAAAGACAGTTGGCTATCAGCACTCGGGCTACGTACTAGTAATGTTCTTCATAGGCCACAGGGTCACAGGATACCCACCCCTGGGTGCTACCCTGTCCCGCGATCTGCCTGCCTTCCTCTGGTCACCCTCTCCAAGCTCCACTCAGCGTGTCCCTTTGTCCCCTGTTCTCTCTTCCAGCTCCCATGACACTCCCCGTGGAGCTACTGACCATGTGTCGAGAACTGTAGAGAATTCCCAGAGAATGCTTACTTAAGGACAGTGGCACTAAACACAGTAAACCGTGAAGCATTAGGACAGCAGAAACATTTAGCACTGATGATAGCAGAGCACTTTCTCAGCCCACTGTATCAACTAAGAACCGCTGCTCTCAAATCTCTGTGCGCATTCTGTACTCACTCTCCTGCAGCCTGCTTCGTCTTTCACGGTTCCCGGAGCTTGGGCTTGGGATTTCATCTTGCAGATGTAGCCTAGTAGCTGCTCACAAGCCCTATCTGCCCAGAAGCCATCCTGCAGAGAGCAAAGAGAAAAAAATGAGTATTTCTTGTTTGAATTTGATGCCATTTTCTGGTAATTATGACTCAGAGAAGGAAGGTTATAATCTAGTAGTCAATTCTCCAATCAGAGTAACACTTGCAAATTACAAATTTGATGGTCCACTCTGCAAATAATGCTTGTTTCTGTTTTGTTTTGCTTTTCTTTCTTTTCTTAATTTAAAATATGCATACAACTTACCCATTCCAACGTTTTAGTATACAGTTCGACTTGCATTATGTAAATTCAAATTGTTGTGCAACTATTACCATTTTCCATCTTCAGAATGTTTTCCTCACCCTATACTGAAGCTCTTCATCTATTAAACAACAACTTCCTGTTTCACTGCGCCAACCCCTGGGCAAGCACATTCTACTCTGCATTTGAATCTGACTTCTATAAGTACCTCATAAATTGGTATCCTTTATGTAAGGTTTGTTTCTTGACCTTCAACATTAATAATCCCTCCCACACTGTTAACTATCTCTTTTCAGTTCCTTACCAGAATGACACTCTCTGGTTACTTCTACCCACCCTTAATGTCCACTCTTTTCTTTAGCTTTCAAATCATGATTAAAGCAATGATGAGACAGCTAATATTTACCATACATTAAGTTTGGCTCGGGAGCTGTGTACAATATTGGCACTGGGTCATTTAATCCTTACACCCACGTATGAGCGGGGGACATTTATTAGCCCCACTTTGTGAGTGAAAGAAGTCAGGAAGCAAAGACCTAGCTTCTTAACCACCCCATGCACCATCAACAGTGGATAAAATGACAACACATACCAATCACTATGGTCATATTAGGAACTTGGATGCAGTGCTACCAAGTAAACTGAAAAACCAAATGCAGCTCTACAAGCACAGGCTCCAAGGGGCGGAACAGATCTAACTAGGTTGATATCTCCTCCGAGCAACCAAGTGAAGGGAGAACCAAGTAGGAGCAACAGGAGCAATAACCATAGGTTAATTTTATCCTTAAATCAAAAGTTCCCATCTCTTGTCTTTGAATGGCCTCCTTGAAATTTTGATGTCGCTAGACAACCGGGAGAGTCTAATGGAACTGAATCTAAATCCAGTTTGATTTATGTGAACTGACCTCAAGTGGAACCAGTCTCAACAGACACCCTCCTGGCACAGCTGGAGACCCCCCACCCACCCCCGTGCCTTGCAGCAGGCATCCTAGGCTTCTTACCTTGCCTTTCATCACCACACAATCTTCCTGCCGGTTGTTCTCATGGCTGGGCTCTCCGCGCAACCACTTGGTGAATGTTACTGGGGTCCCATCGCTCCACTCAAAGAACATCTGAACCTTCATATCATTTAAGCCAATCCACAGCTCATCGCTGGGCTCTGAACAGGAAGAAGAACCCAGAAGCAGTATAAACAAAGGTTGCTTTCCAAGGTGCGCAGGGCTTCCAGAAAGGAAGGCTCTCTTCTTTGTCAACACAGTGCCCCTCGCTTGGCACCGTACCTGTCACAGAGCTAATTTTCTCCCTCCAGGGTGTTCCACTGACCTACATGAAGGAGGTTCGTGTCACTACACTGTAAGTTTAGATTGTGCAATGTTCTCTTTACACTGTAAACATGACTTTGTTTTTTTCAGTTGCACTATTACAGATTGTGTCTCCTGAGATTTAGGAAGATGAAATTGAGGTAAGTCTATTATTACCACCTGTCTTGTGAAGCTGGCTTATTGTCTAAACAAAAAAAAATTTATCAAGACAATCACATTCATACTGTTGGAAATACAATGTCCTGTATATAGAAACCCATTTCATTAGTATTAAATCTTATGAGTGCATTAAAACAACAAATTAAAAATCATTTCTGTTTTACCTGCTGCTGTTACCAAGCACATTCTAGGTTCTTCCTGTAAAGTTTGATCACTCTACTAGGGCTGAAAATGATCTAAACAGCGAAAGAACAATAAAGTAGGAAGATGGATTGGCTTCTGACATTTGGCATTTCTTTATTATTCTACAGATATAAATGATCTGTTACTCTACTAGGGCTGAAAATGATCTAAACAGCGAAAGAACAATAAAGTAGGAAGATGGATTGGCTTCTGACATTTGGCATTTCTTTATTATTCTACAGATATAAATGCTGTGTGGGTGAAGGGAGGGCAGGGACAAGGGGAAAAAAATGAGACCCAAGACCTGTCATGTAAAGGTACAAGATCCCAGTAATGAATGTAACTGTATTGTATACCTAGAATGTACGAGTAAACTCAATAAAAAGGAAAAAAAAGATATAAATGATCTGTAACTTTCACAAAAAATTATAAAATGCCACCAAATTGCAAATAGCAAGGTTAAAATCAAAACAAAACATACAGATTTAAAACGTGATCATCTTGTTTTGAAATCCTATGAAGAACATTATCATTTATAAGCAGTTATCATTCTGAAAAATTCTAAATATCACAACAAAAATGAGACAAACTGCAGTGATTGAAATTCTAAGATTTCAGGGCTGGAGAAAAATAACATTCCAAACTTAAAAATGAAAGAAAATATAATTCAGTATCTATTTAATTTGGATGACTGAGAGTTCTACCACGAAAGTTTGATGTGTGATCTTTCAATGGTAAAGCAAGATTCCCTCCAAGGACCATAAAACTAATACATTAGAAAATGCAGAAAAACCCTACTTATGTAGAATGTCTCTAAGTCATTTAGTTTCTTCCTCCTCAAAGTTGTCACTCAATTCTGCTTTTGGAGAAGTCCTGGGCTGGCCTCACGCCAGCTCCACCAGATGTTTCCAGTGCCCTGGGCCATGAATGACACTGCCAGGGTGATCTGCTTTCCTTTCACATGCGTTGGCAAATCAGGATCTTCTGGGGGACAAATATAGGCTTCAGAGAGACTGCACGTCCCCTCGAGGATTGCAGTAGAAGACCAATGTGCAATTAAATCTCCAAGTCCCACGATCCCAATGAAATATTAAGAATCTACTCTACATATTTTTCCCCTCATCTACTCTCCCCTTATAGAGTTGATAATTCCTAAGCACAACCTTCATCCTACAAAAATGCCTACTAAGTGAGTAGACAGCTCTCAGACTGATTTTTATAAACATGTTCAGGAAGTTGTGTTAATCAAGACACAGCTCTATGGGCTGGGGATTTAGCTCAGTGGTTCCACCGCCTGCCTCGCAAGCGCAAGGACCCAAGTTTGATCCCTGGTACCAAAAAAAAAAAAAAAAAAAAAGACACAGCTTTGTGTGCCAGCTATTTATCTACAAGTACTTGAAATATATTTCTGTGGTTCACATAAACCAGCTAAAACAGGCTTTTGATCAAGAAGCAATAACCTTAGGTTAATGACTTTTCTTTACCTTTATCCAGATTTTGTTTTAATCATGTTAATAGTGTAATATAAGAAATATTCAACTGTAAATAAATTAGTTTTTAATAATTCCTTTTTAAAAATGGAAGGTTTCCTAGTTCATTTACAAATGTTCAAGCCAGTGGTCACTTTAGCAGCACATATACAAATGTTCAAGCCAAATTTCAGAGCACTCTTCCCTGTCCGGCTTCCTTAAGTAATTGTAGCAATCAAATAACTGGTTCTCCCAGCAGCGTATCTGTTACAGAAAGGGATCAACCTTTGTACTCTAGTCTTTTACACCTAAACTAACCCGCTTCCCCACTGACTGATGTGCAGGCTGTACCAGCCACGGCGAGGCCCACGATCACCGTACATGGCTGTTATTCAGAAATATCCACTGTCATTACAAGATGGTTTAGGCTGAATCTCCCGGGCTCAGTGCACCCAGGAGAATTAGGAAACTGTTCGTAGGCTGCAGCAGGCTGTTTCCTCCATCCCGCCCTCACCAGGGTGCACAGCAGAGGGTGATGTCCCACGGACACAGGTACAAGGAGGAGCAGTGTTTTGGGAGCTGTCAAAACTAAATGTTTTTCCTGCTACTCCTGTTGTTGTTGTTGTTGTTGTTGTTTTTCTCATCAGTTTATTGATCGCTTCCCACTACCCCCACCAACCTCCGGCGCCCTGTGTCAGGAAGCTGCTTCTTCCATCCCCGCCATCCATTTCCTCTTGTTTTGCTGGTGGAAATGAAGGGCAGCTGCAGCAATTCAGCAGCCACGTCAGTGGAAGAGGGAAACCATAATCATTTCATCAGCAAGTAGTGCCGAGACCCGGGATGGCCACGGTGCCTCTCAGTCTGCTCTGCTGTGGGACACACGTTCCCTATTCATGTCACCCATCTGTTCTTTTATTTCTGGATAGGACATTTTCCAAGTATTTCTCTTCTTTTTAAATAAATGTTCGCAGTAGGTAATGATTACATTTATCATGGGGCATTAGTTCCTGTACATAACACATAATTTTCTTTTTTTTCTTTTTCATCCCCTACCTCTCCCTGTCTCTTCCAGCTCTTGGTCCCTCTCTCATTCACCTTAGCTCCATTTCCTTTTGCTTCTTCCATTCCATGCAGTATTTAAGCCTCTGATTTATTTCACTTAATATTATGGCTCAAGGTGCATCCATTTTCTCACAAATGCTTAAGTTTATTCTTTATGACACAGTAATATGCCATTGTTTATAAATATCATATTTTCTTTATTCATTCATCTGTTGATGGGCATATAAGCCATTTCCAAGATTCAGCTATTATACATTGTGCCGCTACATACGCGGGTATACATGTATTACTATAGTATAATGACTTTAACTGTTATGTACACAGGGATCAAAAACACACATTGAAAGAAAGTCTCTTTAACAAATGCTACTGGGAAAATTGCATATCCACATGAAGGGGATTGAGCCAAGTGTTTTGAAAATGACTCACCTACAGTATAACTTTTCTATTATGTTATTTTAAATGGTTTAGGCCAACACCTAACCACTACAAAAAGAATGTCCCTTTTCTTTCACTATTCAATACCCTTGGAGCAGGAGCTGGATTAGTAGACAAAAGAATGTCCAAATTGTGGGATGCTTCATTTAGAGATGCTTCTTGGGAGACTTTATGTGGACCTTCATAAAGAAAATATGCACATACACATCCAAGTAATTCCAAAAAAATCAAACATTCGGTAGAGTAGTTTAGAGCAGATGTTTCTGCATCTGGATTATATGTAGAAAAATATTCTAAAGCTACCCATGAACTGATTACATATTAATAGAAAAATCGTTTGAATTCTTTTAGTGATAAGGATTTTTAAGTTATTACACAATCTTCACACTGTCAGCATAACTTGCTTGTTGCTAAATCCATACGGCTAATTTAATTTTTAATTACAATTTGTGAAACTTAATATTTGTGATCACATTGTCCAGAGAAAGATGGGGAGGAGAAGGGACTAGATTCAAGTGGATTTCTGGTTTCGAGTTTCTCACCATATCCTAGCTGGGAGAAGATGAAGTCGAATTCCTCAACGGTGTGAATGCTGGCGAGGTCCCCCCCCTCCTTCCGGCACGCAGTCAGGGCGTCTCTCTGGATTCTCTTCGCTTCTCTGTGAATCTTGTAGCACTGGCCTGCATACGGCCACCACTGATTAGGACAGCTGCTAGGCACGTCCGTTTCTAGGGAAGGAAGGTTGGAAAACATTGCAAAGAGAAGACTTGCTTAAAACTTTAACAATATTTTCCATCATTACAGAGAGAGCAGTTCTGAAAGATAAGTAAATAAAAGTAATATTCATCTTTCCTTTTCGGCATGTATATTCACCAAAGATAAATGAGACGTTTGACTCTTGTTTGTCTCTATGCTCAAAAAGTGAAAGCACCCATGTTTTACTTTAAAATAAAACCAAGCAGGAAGTGTCTTTTTAAAAAACTTTATAGGATAAAGGTACAAGATCCCAGTAATGAATGTAACTGTACTGTCTACCTAGAATGTACCAATAAATTCAATTTAAATAAAAAATAAAAATAAAAAGCTTTATAGGCAACCAGATGACACCAAGATTATGATAACTATCTAATTTTATCAACCTTATATCATCAGTAAACCTGTCCTGAGTATCTACTACATTGAAATGCTAGAAGCCTCAAACTTTTGGTATAAGCACATTCTCTAAAATATTTAAATGCATCTTTATCCCATGGATTCTTCAGAGGCAGGACAGTACCCACAAGGCAGGCACAAGAAAGATCAGCGTTGATGTAGGGAATAGAATGGGCGGGGATATGTAGACTTCTAGGAAGCCTTTGCCACAGCAGTAGCATGAACCAACGACTTATGCCTCTGAACTGACTGGCTGCCACTTTACTTGCTCCCAAAAGATGACAGGTGTTATTGTGACCGAGTGTGCAATTTAGATTCAGGAACCTTTCGGGCAAAACTGGCATTGGCTGCGAGGTATATGACTTCAAACAGATCCCAGCACACAAATCAAAGTATCCATGTACATAAAAAGCTCTAACTCATAGTAATGCTAGTCATGCTAACTTGAAATTATCCATCCCCACTCTGTTCTTCTGAACTAGGAAAGAAGAGAAATAAATGTAGTTGTAAGTGACAAAAATAACTGCCCATAGTTCTTTAAGGAAGTCATTAGTCAAAATCCTCATCATCGCTGTGAACAGTTATGGTCAGATTTCATAACCTCAATTATATGTTGCAAAAGTTTGATCATAATGAGCTGAGGCAAATGAGAGAAAAGATGTTTGAAGAGATCTTTTGCTTCATCTATCTATGCCCCTGAGCCCATCACAGGGTCTGGCACATGGTAGGTACAATGAGTGTCAGCAGGGAAAAAACTGAAGTTGTACTCAGCAGTTAATTTTCACTGTTTTACAGATAGTATTTTAAACAGCAATCCAGCAACCAGTCCTGCTTAGATATGGACTGCTTAAGGATGCTGAGATGGGTTGCCAAAAGGAGGTCAACTTATATGTTTAGCTTAATTCTTAATGTTTCCAAATGTGCTGCTTTAACAGATGTTCCATTAGGAGACCTTGCTTTGTTATTCTTTTAATGACTCAGTCCTATTTTCTCCTAAAAGTAAAGAATGAGACATTTTCGCTTAAGCGTAGGATTCTGTGGACCGTACTCATTTCAGAAAGTGCTATAAAGCTATAGCAGTGCTATAATGCTATGTGATCACAATAGAAAAAATTGATATTTTAAAAATTCTATTCCTTCTATGCAGATTTAAATTGTGTAAATTTTCAGGGGTGCCACAGGGGAAAAAAATGCTAGCGGAGCTCTAGAGCCCTCTGGTGGGTTAACTTTGCTATCAAAGATACTGAAACTAATGTCAGCCAATGCTGAGGGCCTCAAACACACAGCAGATGACCCTGAAAAATACTTGAAAACATGGAAGCAACCAGTTGAAGTGAAATTAAGGGGAGTCCCCTGGAGAAGCCACAAAATATCATTTCTTCCCCAAGAATAGTATAATCCAAAATGTGAGCCACAAAGGTAATCTAGACGCATAATTTTAGATTTGCTAGTAGCCATAACAAATAAGAGTAAAATGAGACCGCTAAACTTCACTTTAATACATTTTATTAAACAATATGCCAAAAATATCATTGTAATATATAATTGATCAAAACTGGGGCATTTTGAATTTTTCAGGCTGTGTCTTCAGAGCCCAAAATGCATTACGCACTTGTAGTACCTCGCAATTCAACCTGAACACAGTTCCCCGTGTGGTCAGCGGACGCTGCAGCAGACAGCACAGATCTGGAGACCTAGCAATGATGGACCACAGGGTGATACTGCAAAGACCAAAAGAGTGTGAGGCTGACTCAGGACGTCCAAACGCACCACGAAGAGGGCAGCAAAATGTGATCTCCAAGCTACTTTCCCTAGATGTGGTTATGACTGCTTATATGAGGTATGAAAGAGCAATACAGTGAACGTTTAACATTGTAAAACTTCATTATAATAAGAGACACGATGTCATCAGCCCTACTGGAAATACTCTTTCTTGCTTTGATCCCCCTCATCCCATTGTTCTTGCCTTTTTCTAAAGCACTTCTGGAAGTCCTCTTTGATGAATGTCTGTCCTTAGTTGCCCTGTAGTAGCTGCCTCAATGTCCTGAACTCACTCAGAAGGTTTACCTTTCGTGGTCATTTTGACACTGCGAAAGAACTGGAAGACACACACTGCCAGATCTAATGAATAAGATGGACAAGGACACATCATAATGTTTTTATGAACTTGTCCTTCCATTGGGTGGCACTCAACAGGGACATTAATAACAGTGTCTTTTACTGTAATAACTTTTTAAACATTCACCTTATGTTCTAATCATACCTCATAGATAGGAGAGTTTAAATACAGTGGTACCTCAGTCTGCAAACACAAGCAGTTGGCAAAATTTTCTTTCCATTCTCGAACTCCATATCCAGTGACATTGAAGCTTATCAAGAAATTTGATTTAGCTTGCAACCAGAGTCATGGAAAGAATTAAGTTCATGAACCAAGGTATCACTGTAATTCAGAAAGTAAAGAGATAGAATAATCCATTCACAAAGTACAGTGATATGTAAAAACAAATGTTATGGTAAGGTTAGAAAGTTACGCAAGAAAGGGATAGCCGGGTAATAGGAATTTACCGACTGTTTGAAAATATGAATAAGACTGCACAGCAGACTTATTGATACTTTAGTAGATGAAGAATCTAAAACCAGTGGACTAAACAATAAGGTCAAGTTACAGAATTTTTCCTCCTGGAAGATTAAAAACGTCAGGGGAAAAGCTGGCAGCAAAATACAGCCTCTCCAGGACCTGGAATTGAGACACCCAGTAAACAATAACTTGTGGAGAAAAAAAGTAGATTTCCAGGAATTAAGAAAGAGCTAACAGGCAAATTAGAAACTACAGAGAAACTTTCAAAACTGAACAACACAGAGGAAAAGAAAGAAGTGGTCTGGAAAAACTAACCCCAGCAATTACAAGGTAAGCCCTGAAGCAGTCAACAGCTCCAGGGAGAGACAATGGACTAGGCTGGCAGTACCAGCTCCAAGAAAAGCCAAAAAAAAAAAATGAAAAATGAATCTAACAGCTTCTATATGACTTGAGGAAGACTAATCTCATATTAAATATTAAGTGGAATTAGGGAAAAATTAAAAAAACAGCATAAATGACATTTAAAACACTGTATAGAAATCATAGCAGAATATGTGCCAAGTATGGTGAAAGAATTTAACATACAGCCAGGGATTTGCTCAGTGGTGCTGCCACCTGCATTGCAAGCGGTACCAAAAAAAAAAAAAAAAAAAATTAACATACACACAAGTGAGGCTATAGGATCCCAAATACAGTGGTACTTTGGTTGGTGATCACGTATGTTTGCAAACAAATTGGTTGGCAAACAAAAGCATTTGGCAAAATTTTGTTTTTGTTTGTGAACTCTGCACTGGATGTTAAACACAATCATGGCCATCTTTTCCAGAATTGTGGAACAAATTAAGTTCTTGAACCAAGGTACCACTATAGCCACAATCAGAAAAGAATGTCTCTAGAATACATCATGGTCAAATTTCAGAAGTCCAACACAAGGACAGAATCATACAGAGTGTTACAGAAAAGAAGCAAATAATTTATAGAGCAGTAAGCCCATTAAAATTATAGTGAACTTCTCAAAACAAATATTAAAGACCCTGAGAGCTTGGAGTGAAGTATTTCAAGCTCTAAAAGAAAATAACTTGCAACACAGAATGATATCTCCTACAAAACTATCTTCCAAAATGGATGGAGAAATAAGGACTTTGCATGATGAACAGCACTTTAAGAAACTTATTTCTGCCAAACCAGCGCTCCAAATAATTCTCAAGGAGATCCTAAAAAGAATCAATGAAGCCAACAATGCCAGAAAGTCTAATTTAATGAATGCATCAGGGAGGGTGAGAAGAAGGAGAAAAAAAGGACTCAGCAATAAAGCAATAACAGGAATAAGTCAATATCTTTTAATAACAACTCATTGTGAATGGTCTCAATTCTCCAGTCAAAAGAAGCAAATTAGTTGGGCTGGGGCTTTAGCTCAGTGGCACTGCTCCTGCCTCTCCTGGTATTAAAAAAAAAAAAAAAAAAAAAAAAAAAAAAAAAAAAAAAAGAAAAGAAAAGAAAAGAAAAAGAAAAAGAAAGAAAAAAGAAACATATAGAAAACAATACCAAAAATTAAATTGCTAAAAGGTAATGAGAAAAGTGAAAGCATTAAATGAAGTCAGAGAGACATTGTAAACAGAGGAACAAAGAAAAACACAAAAGCAGGTGTCTCAGAAACAGTGAATTCAAGAAGACAGAGTGATATCTTTAAAAAATGGAAAGAAAATAACTGCTAACCTAGTTTTCTATATGTAGTGAAGAATAGATTTCAGAAATAAAGGTAAAGTAAGGTTTTTTTTGAAACATACAGATGACAATTCATCATTACAAGACAGCTACTACATGAAACATTGAAATAAATCTTTAAGCAGAACATACATTGGTATCAGATGGAAATCTGAATTTACGTAAAGATTATGTGAAGAAATGTAATTTTTTTATTTTAAATTTTTCTTTAAAAAGTAAAATAATAATGTGTGGCAGGATCTATAGTATAGGTAGAAGTGAAATGCATCACAAAAACAGCAGTAAGATGCTAGGGGTGCAGCTTAGTGGTAGAGCACGTACCAACACCTCAAAATAATAATAAGACAAAGCAATAAGGTACAGCAGGAGAGACAAAACTATACTTTGTAAGTTTCTTATACTATATGCAAAGTGGTGCAACATCTGCTTATATATGCTGTGACAAATTAAAAATTTGTGCTGCAAACCCTACATCTGCCATTCTAGGGGTGCTCCTTAGAATGGGAAGGGAAGGGGTGCTACTGGCATCTAGTGGGTAGAGACTTGGGTTGCTTTTAAATATCCTACACTTCACAGGACAGCTCTCCATCACAAAGAATTGTCTAGTGCAAAATATGGCCAAAGAATTATCTAGTCCAGGTTAAGAAATCCTGAGGCAGGGCTGGAGGTAGAGCTCTGGGGTATAGCACTTGCGAAGCTTTAGGTTCACTTTCTAGCACTGAAACAAAACAAAACAAAACAAAACCTGCTCTAGAGTTGCCACTAGAACCAGAAGGCAAAGCGACAGGACTAAGAAAACAACAGAAGAGATAAAACAGATGCAAAAAAAAAAAAAAATTCAACTAACACAAAAAAAGGTGGGCAAAGTAATTGGAAAGGGAGAAAAGGGCAGAGGGGGCAAACAGAAGTCAGATGAGTTGGTAGATTTAAACTCAAACGTATCAATACTCTCACTGAATACGAATGGTCTTAATATCTTCAAAATTAAAGGCAGAGATTTTTAGGTTGTATGAAAAGTGCAAGACTCAACTATATGCTGTTCACACACACACACACACACA